GATTTAATGGATGTATATTGCACAGTGTCCCATTTCCTCAAAATAATGACCTTTGCATGGTATGAACTTTTGATGCCTGTCAGGTCAAACACTCTTGGCAATTTCTTCCACTGTGACTTGTGGAGTTTTTGCCTCCCATGTTTGGGGTCGTCATCCAGGGTCAAATAGTCTCTTTTAAATCTTTTCTGCCACCCCATAATTGTAGTTCTATCTGGTATATACTCCTTATATACTTTCTTCATGGTAGCATTGTTTTGCGTGGCTGTGAGTCCAAGTGAAGTATGAAATTAGGCCACTAAACGCAATTAGGCCTTCTGTTATCAGGTAAGAATTGCAGCCATTTTTGCAATTTCTTGACTGTGACTGTATTTGAATTCGTGACTATTGAAATGTGGTATTATGATATCACAGTGCTAAATGTCATTATTTGTACTTGGTTAACATCATGTTGAATAAATTTAACAATTTCCCAAACATTTTGACCATTTAAAGCAACGAAATATTAATAAAATAACACTTTAGATCTTTTCATAATTAGAATAATTGGTGCCTGCCCCGCCCACCCCTACCCCCATGTTGTTATAGCAACCATATTGAGACTTAATATTAATGTTTGATGCTGAAACTTCAGGATATAATAGATAAAACTTCAATTGTTATATATACAAAATTTCAGCTGAATTGAAGAATATTAAAGAAAGTTAGAGCATATAGTGCATTACTTCTGGGACAACCCTCGTATATACCATTATTAATTGCATTTCTTTATAATAAAACCACAGAAATCAAACTAAATTAAACCGCTGCTCTTATTCATGAATGTCAATGGTTTCCACAAATTATTTCTGAGTTAAGTAAATCTCTTCAATCTTCATTGTACAACCATTTCAATTAATAAAATCATTTAAAACAATACTTTAAACTATTATAAAAAGCCACAAGAACCACAAATTACCGTCTCAGACTAAATTGGACTCCATGTTAGACTCAATCAGACTAATATATTACATTTGAAGCACATTATTAAGAAAATCTTCTGATGACCAGGCAACATGATTTGAACGAGGCTTCAGTGTCGCTTTGCTACAATAATGTTTCTAGTGTGACATGCCCTGATGTTTTGTGACATCTTGTCTCTTTATGTGACATTCTTCTTTATGTGACATTCCCTGATGTTGCTTGGTGCAACATTTCTTGATATTTGCTTAAGTGACATTCTCTGATGTTTTTTATATGACATACCCTGATGTTTGTTTATGTGACATTCTCTGATGTTTTTACTGTGACATTCTCTGATATTTTTCATATGACATGCCCCGATGTTTGTTCATGTGACAGTCCCTAATCTTTCTACTGTGACATTCTCTGATGATTTGAATTGTGACATACCCTGATTCTTTAAGTGACATCTGATGTTTTCATCATTGCTAATGAACAGAAACCATGGCGAGACACTTGATACCTCATTTGCCTTGCGTGTTTTAATTATAGTGGTTGTACTTAATTAGCTATTGACTTATTGTGGCAATCATGGATCTTTCCTCAATTCTTGTTAGAATGCTAGTTTTCTTTATTATTCCTGCCATGTTTTTATCCCACACAGCAACACGTCAGCTAATTAGCATATCAAGAGTAGAGATCATCAAGAATGGCGAGAAATGTCTTCATATTTATGTCGCAATTGGTGTCCTTTGGTTATAATTTCTAAGTTTTTTGTGTACCTTGTTCATCAAAAAGTGCCAGAACTTTGTATATTAAAATACATCTTTTCATCAAAGTTAATTTTTTAAACATAATAGAGTTACTAGATATTTGACTTATTATTTATACTTTATTCAATGTGTGTCTGATATTGTCTTAATTCTACTGAGACACAAAATACCACATTTATGCTTACCTCACTTGCACGACTTGACTTGAATGTCCAGGGAACTTAAGGTAAGCTTTTTTTAGAGTTGATACATACTCCTATTTCAAATAGTCCTCCAATAGTCATGGGACTCATAGATATTGTGGCCTCAGTAACACATTCAACAAAGGAGGTGTGCCTCCCAGCATTCATTTGCCACCTTTTCCTTATTTGCACTGAAAAAGTGTGTATAATATTCCCAATTTGCTCATCTCCAGACGAAATGATTTATCTGGAGATGAATATATAGTGATGTTATTACCAAATTGGTCTGCGCCAGTCAAAAGAAGATCCCAAAAGAATGCTGGGAGCCAATCTTCCTTGGCTTTCAACCAAATGCAAGAGGCCCTTAATTAAACATTTAGAGCTGTCAAAGAATGTCTGTTGTAAAATGGCAGAAATAAGAATTCCTAATTCCCATGCTATAATTGGAAGATTGGAATTTAATGAGTTTGATGAACATCTATGGAGGAATTCCATTTCAAACTTACATTGTACTTACTGTATTCTATATATATATTGTGTTTCAAATTACCCATTTGAAAAATACTTTGCACTTATGGGAAAAACAAATTTTCCAAATACACAGTTCAATTATTGTAGCCATTGTTAAGGTTCATGAGACAATCAAATGACGAAATGGTTCATTACCCAAATGAGATGTAGCTATTTGTTGAGCATTAATTGCATCTATTTGTATAAGCAAAAAATTAAAACAGTTTTGTATTAGTGGAACTTGATTCTCTCCATTGTTATGATATCAACAATTGTAGATTCATGGATACTCATTGCAATGGTGTTCACATTCGTGATATGAAAAACACATTTCTATGGCAACGAAAAAAAACGAAGTAGGGGTTGGAATGCATCGGTTTTATTAGCAGCAGACAACAGGTGATTTTCGCCAGTTGTTTTCACAAAATCGCCTGTTGTTTTTAGGGACTTTTCAACTTTTCCATCATTGCACAGAATTAGTCGAATAGCCGATAGATGTCATTCATTGATTAAACATGACGTCATATTTGAGATCTTAAGATAAATCTGACGTCATGACGTCAGTGCCATAGAAACTGAGATTGTCTTATTTTATTTTGACGTCATTCCAATGTAATGAACCAGTTATATCACCAAAAGTTATCATATTTTGTTTGAAATTGGCCGAAAAGTTAAAGGTATGAGGATTCTAATCTCAACGGAATCAAACAGATCTACCTTCAAAGTTACAGAAACCTGAGATGACTAAGATACCATATGATTTTAAGTACCTCTACCAGACCGTTGAATATCCTCATTTCACCATTTTGACGCCATTTCTAATGGATTTCAATGGAGTCATGCATGAATTCCTCATGATTTTTTCAAAACAAATTGGCCGAAAAGTGTGCATGTGTACATTGCTTAAAACATGTTAAATCAGTAAAGGTTGATGTCTAGTTATAGAAACCTGAGATGACTAAGGTGGCAAATCAATATCATTCGCACAGTAAGCGTTCGAAAAATGTCTCCATTATAAATCCCATAGGCTTTGGAAAACCGGAAGTAATGGTTCTGCGCATGCGCAGTGAAATATTGGACAAATTTTGTGCAATGATGTTAAATTGATTTCTATTAATATTATAAGTTATTGGATGATTTGAAGTGCAATACAGGATATATTCTGTTCGAGAAATTTTGTATTGGAACGAGACGAAGTCGAGTGCCAATACAGAATATCGAGACAGAATATATCCTGTATTGCACTTCAAATCATTCAATAACGTTTTTATTGTGTGATCCTCTGTATTGCTACTGAGATTGTCCCCTCCGTAACCAATGTTTTCTGTATTGCTATGGAGATGATCATCGGGGACAACCTCAGCAGCAATACAGATTGGTACAGCACAAGAACTGATCAATCAGAGGGCTTCATTTGACAGATCATACGATAATGCCTGTTGTTTTCATATATTTAGCCTGTTGCGAGAAATTCTAGTGAAACCCCTGGGAATGGTTATATATTTAATTGAATTGAAACAGCCCTGGAGAAGATTGTATGATTGTTCAATTACATGTACATTATTATAAACAATATGCTCAGTATTACTCTGAGACCTAGAGTGACGAGCTAATTTGTCACAAAATTCTTCACCAAATTGCTCTTAATTTAACAATTCACACTTAATCTACACAAATAATGTTTGAAATGTGTAGACATGATCTCTCCCAACTAATTTCGCTAAATTTAAATGTCAAAAACTGGCAAAAATGAAAAATTCTCTAGTTTCAAACCAATTTTAGAGCCTAATTCAAGATAGAACGTGAGGCTTGAACGCGTTAATGAACAGAAGTGTGTGTTAATGAACAAAATTGTCGTCTATTAATGAATGAGTGGGATTCATTATATACTGTTATCATATTTTAGCCTATTTACATTGAGTTTGTTTGTACAAACTAATGGAAACAGGCAGTAAACAGCAATCTCAATGTTAAATTCATAATTGCAATTTGATGAATTGATTCTCTTCGCAAAACATGATAATATTTTGTAGACGGATGAATAATGTACAGGCAACTTAATGTGTGCAAAATAGAATTGCTGCCTTTGCTCTATAGTTTTGAAATATTGTTGAAGTCTTGTCAAACATTGTTGAATAGAATTGAGTATTGCCTAAGTTGAAATGACGCATTCTTGTTTAACAGACCCCTCTTATCTGTCGTTTGCGAGAGCCTTTTGGAAAGAACGAGACAAAGGGTGCTTGGTTATTGCGATTGGAATAACATGACAAATTGGATCTGAGATTTCTGCATAAAACAAAGTTACTTATTTAAACAGTGTGATTGTTTATCAAAAAGTGTTCATTGTTGCCAAATACAAGGTGAGCCAAACAAATGTTAATGACTGAGTAATCATTTGTTTGGGTTACCTTTTTTGGCTCACCCTGTATAAGAAAGAACAGTTGATATGTCTGACTTGTTGAGTGTATTTAGCTTAGCCATTGTTATGTTTTCAGTCATGCTAATGGAGATTTTTGTATAATTTTAGTTCAGTTTATGAATAATTTAGCATGTTCTGATCCATCTTAATGAATGTTAGTTTATTTTATGTTTTCAGTCATGTGAAACCTCGCTCAAGCATAAAATTGAGCTGGTGGTGAAATTAGAAAAGAAGACAACAGAAATGACAGATGTGTTAAAGAAAACTGAACTCAAGTGAGTCATTATGTTATTTGTTATCTAGCCATTAAGGTAATTATATACAAGGGGCCTAAAATTTATTTTATGATAAACTGAATAAAAACTATTATAAAAATCTTGATATCACAGAATTTGTAGTAAACATGTATGTCTAAAGTTTAGAACAATGGTTAAGTCTGCCTCCATGATAGAAAAGAACAATCTTTTGCCAATATAATAACTACTTATCATCTAAAAACGAATGATTTTTAATTATATAACACCTAACCCAAACATGCCTGTGTTCATGTTTGAGTCATTTATAATTCTGATGAAAGATATCTGATGAACATACATGTATTCTTCATTATCAATATTAATTGCACAATTCACCAGTGTATAATTTTTATGAAATATTAAGTGGGTATCAGATAGTGGTCGGACTCGCCTGAAAATCTCCACTCGAGTGGGCCATGAAAAACCACGATTATAATCGCGATTTGACTTAGTTGAGTTACTTCCGGTTTCAGTTTCCGAAGTAGCGGCAGAATTCATCAATTTGATCAAGTCTTTCAAGTGCCTCTATACTTTTTATTGTCTAAATCGTATTGCACATCCCTATACGAGGGTTGTCCCAGAAGTAATGCACTATATGCTCTAACTTTATCAATAATTGATATTTTTCCATGAAATTTTCAGTAAATGTTCCTTAGATACATTTTGATTATTCTACAAATTTTCATGTTGACTGATAAAACTATATTGATGTTAAAATAAAATCAAGTTGGTGAGTTTGGGTAGGGCGGGGCAGGTTATACAGTCACGTCAAAAGGAATAAAAAATTGAAAATATGAAATAATTAATCAACAAATACCATTTGTGTAGCTATAAGAAGTATACTCAAAAATACATTTTAAGATACTAAATTACTATGAGAACATCCAAGATTTAACGGATGTATATTGCACAGTGTCCCATTTCACATTTTCTCAAAATATTGCCCTTTGCATGTTATGTACTTTTGATCCCTGTCAGGTCAAACACTCTCGGCAATTTCTTCCACTGTGACTGTGGAGTTTTTGCCTCCCATGTTTGGAGTTATCATACAGGGTCAAATCGTCTCTTTTAAATCTCTTCTGCCACCCCATAATTGTACTTCTATCTGGTATATACTCCATATATACTTTCTTCATGGTAGCATTGTTTTGCGTGGCTGTGAGTCCAAGTGAAGTATGAAATTAGGCCACCAAACGCAAGGCCTTCTGTTATCAGGTGAGAATTGCAGCTATTTTTGCAATTTCTTGACTGTGGCTGTATTTGAATTCGAGACTATTGAAATGTGGTATTGCTAAATGTCATTATTCGTACTTGGTTAACATCATGCTGAATAATTTTAACAATTTCCCAAACATTTTGACCATTTAAAGGAAAGAAATATTAATAAAATAACACTTTAGATCTTTTCATAATTAGAAAAATTGGTACCTGCCCCGCCCACCCCTACCCCCATGTTGTTATAGCAACCATATTAAGACTTAATATTAATGTTGGATGCTGAAACTTCAGGATATAATAGATAAAACTTCAATTGTTATATACACAAAATTTCAGCTGAATTAAAGAATATTAAAGAAAGTTAGAGCATATAGTGCATTACTTCTGGGACAACCCTCGTAGATCGTTAAAGTTCACCCCTAGTCCCCTATAGATAGTAAAACTTATCGAATAAATAGTGAAAACAAACTTCGTCAATCCAGAAAGTTCCAGGATGCACCGCGGTAGACAAATATTTTAAAATTCCCGGCTGTTGGATATTCCCAGAATGCATCAAACCGGAAATGAAACTTTTGCATAAAAATAACGAACGCAGAATAAATTCGAGTATGTTTGTCTTCCGCACATGGCATTAAATAGAAAATAAGTTGTTTTCTATACAGATTAAGCAGAACATTACAACTATAAGCATGGAAATTGCGAATAGGAGAGACGAATCGCGAGTCAAGGTAAGGTGAAAACGAGTGAAAAATAATTTTTGGTAAACATTTCAAATCGCGAGTTCAAGTTTTCAACTCGATCAATTGATTTTTAGGACAAATGCGAGTAAAACTCGAGTACATGAGTCAGTCTTCCAACCACTAGTATCAGACACTTTTGATTTTTTTCTTGTGAATGGCCACACATTTATTTCCATATCGGCTTTATAATTGTTATTATGTATTAATGCAAAATAGAACAATTCAGTAAAAATGATCGCTGTATCCTTATGAAAATGAAAAATGTGTTTCACAAGTTAGGAGAATGATACTTTCTAGTGCATACTCAAGGGAATTGATTGTTGTAACTATGTAACCTAAATATTCAGCTATCTATTTTTGGAGATGTTAAGCCCTAAATATAGATTTACTCCACTTTAAATTTGTGAAACTACAGTATTCTTGGAATGAAGTAATGAATCAAACTCCTAAAGGCGACACGCAAGGGGCCTAGGGGGAGTTTAAGTACAATTTCATCAGTTCTCGTTATGATTGGTGGTAAAATTTAAATTGAATGTAGAATGAAAAGAAGAATCTGAGCATAGGGGGTTCCCAAATTGCAAGTAAAATTTTATCAATGAATGAAGCTGATTTGGAATATTCAAATACATCCCTCCCTCCATCCATCAGTCTATCCATCCATCCAGAAAATGACTCAAATACTAGTGGATAGATTTCCTTCATATTAATTAGTGAAAAGATGTGTATTGGTTAAAATAGATCTATGCAAAGAAAATATTAGGGAAAATTATGTAAATCCTTTGCAAAAATCTTAGATTTTTTCATTTCCAACCACAGGAATTAGCATAACAGTGTATTTGTTTGAAGTTTTGGCAGTGTAAATATATATTTTCCCCACATTGTCCCATTTAGAATTTCTGTCAATTTTTTACATTCAAATGAAAAGCATTTTAGAATAGTATACAAATAGTGACTGCCATTGAGGGCAATAGTGTAAATTATTTCCCCGAGGGAATATCCTCTACAATGTACTATTCCCGAAGCCGCAGGCTGAGGGAATAGTACATTTTAGAGGATATTCCCAAGGGGAAATCATTTACACTATTGCTCGAAATTAGGCAGTCACTATTTGTTTTATTATATACCCTATACTGACTCTTGTCCCGTTTCCTCTGCGAAGGCCAAAAAGGCTTAGAAAGCCCCCTTCCCGGGTCCATTGTTAGCATTATAAGCTGTGACGTCATCAGATGCTCAACAGAAATTTTTGCCTCTGAGACTCCCACTTGACAAATTCAATCGCGTTTAACACGCGGAATAGATTATCATAATACTTGAAATTACACAGACGTATTGAGCTTAGGGAACTTTATACACGTTGCTTATACTGTATCGTTCACGCACGTCTGTCATGGTGAACGGAGTTGATTTGTGTTTGTGCTCATCCTCCATTTTTCTGTTTTTCGTCTGCGCAGTGATGATGCGCAGATGTTTCCAAGGGTAATAGAAGTTGCAATCGTGACGTCAGCGGGCAATAGTTCAAATGTATATTCCCGCTGACGTCACATTTGAGGGAATATAACTTTCCGAGGGAAATAGTAAATCTATTTCGGAACACGTGACTAGGTATTGACCAATCAGGATTAGTGTTACATATTGGGTATATAATAAATTGCAATATTGCCTGACCCTCAGATACCTTGCTAAAGTGTGGCTATATTTACTGAAATTAATTTATATTTAAAGTTGATGATGTGTTTCCTTTTCCTGATTTGTGCCCCTGAAAATCCAAACTAACTACTCAAACCTCGAACTGGTTGTAATATGAGATTTCATTGATTTATGGCTATCTATGTTCCAATCGAGGGTTTTAACAGTTGATGTGATATTGTGATATATTTCAGGTTCATGAGTTATTAATAGTTGCTGTTTTCTAGTTGAACATAATTAGTGGAATTACACCTATTTCATGGCTAAAGGCGTTTTCAAGGCGTTTTGGGTAACGTAGGCTAGAAAACCGCAATCCTAATTACACCAGAATTTTAAAAGCGCCTTGAAGACAACTTTTCGTGATTACACTTGATTTTTCTAAAGCGCTTTTAGACTGATTTAAGACAAAAATTTGCCATCAACCATCGCATTTGCATCAAAATCTGCTATTTAGATATACACTTTCAACCGTAGCGCCATCTCTGGAGATTCAAAATGATCCGATACTGTATGTTCCTTTTTTTCTTAAATCGTATTCAATCTACCTCTGGCGTTAACAAATATGTGCTAAAGAAAGCATGGAAAACAATGCACAAGAGCGCAAAGAGAGAAGCTCGGTCGTTAGGAGAGATCCAAGAGAGATCCAGTAAAATGAAGATGGTACTTTTGTTGGGGCTGTTTGGCATCCTTGGTAATATGGGACAGGAACGAACAATGTGGACAAGACAAAGATCTCGTCATTTTTTTGACTTCATTGTAGAGAGGTAATTTCAACTATTCAATCATCCCCTCCCCCCGCCTTCCCCAATCTACAATAGTACCGGAATTTCTCGTATATAAGCCCTGGGCGTATAACTGAAAGAAGGGGTAATTTCGTCCGTTATTTTATCATTTTTTATATTTTAATCGAAAGCATACGCTCAGTATTGACGTGGTCCCAATAAATTCTACTTTGTTTCGACATTTTGGTGATTTGATTGAGTTTTGCGCAATATTTGAATTTTGTTTTTTGAAGTTTCCTCCACACCGGAAATCAATAACATGCTTGATGCTCATGCGCAAATATAGTTTTCGTTCAGTGTAAAATCGAGTTAAAGCGCCTTGAAAACCAATCGGTATTACACCTACACGTTAAACCGCCTTTGGGTGTGAAAGCGGTTTTTAATGACTAGGGGTCTGGGAGGATTACAAAAGCGCTTTTCTAAATCCGCGATCGTGATTACACCTGACTCTAAAGGCGGGTCGAAACCCGATAGGATTTTAAAAAGCGCTTTTACATCGTAGGTGTAATTCCACCTATTAAGTCAAATAAATAGGAACCTATTCAGAGGTGTTTTTTGTTTAACAGGGGCATAGGAAGGTGTAAATTCAACACTATGCAAAATAATTTACAAAAGTTTGTCAAAACTTCTATATCAAAATATCTTTTTCATGTTTGTAAAACATAGATGAACTGTTTTTCAATTATTGTCCTTTTCAAGTTTGAATAGAGAAATAAAAAAAAAATAAAAAAAGTTTGTAAAACATCATGACCAGCTTTCTATTTATGTGGTTATAATGTTTTTCATCATTTAAAATCAAGATGGAATGCCGATCTTTGAAAACTCGCCAGAACTCATTTCACTTTTCTGAATCAAAATTTTTTCTCGAAAACAATACAGATGACAAATTTTCACATCGGTAAAACTATATTCCAGATAACAATCGTCTTATAACAAACGTCAATTAATGCGTCCCTAAAGTGTGTTTAGTCTTTTTAAATAATTAAAATAGACACATGTATTATTTGTCATGTAATACTTCTTGTCTGATTTCATCCTGCATTGTGCACGACGACAATGTAGATTTAAGGAAATAGTATTGATATAAAGAAAAATGATGTCAAATAGTTGACAGAATATTACTCAAACAGGAAGACAGTTGAATGTTTTAAGAAGGAAAAACCAAACTTTTACAATATGTCCCTCATGAAATGGTTTGTTTGCAGGTCTGAGGTACATGAAAACAATTTAGTTTTATGGAACCAAGTCCATTTTTCTTGGTCTTTTCTCAAAGTGGCAAGATCCTCTTCATCATTTAGGTGAATTTTTTAATGTATTTGGAGCAGTGTACATGTGTCAAAAAACATTTCCTTGGTGTGCTCGAGATCACAAACCAGTTATTTTAAACTCGCAATGAGAAAATATGACTGAAGAACATAGAAGAACTCACTTTCAAATACTACGTATTGGCATATTGACGTACATTGTTCCTACGCCACTGTTTAAGTACAATTTTTTTTTTATCAAGAACTCACTCTTGTTTTGTTTGTTGCTCTGTAAAATTAGCACAACAAGCAACAAACAATCTAAAAATATATATGTACATGTATTTCATTTATCACATAAATCTTTTTAATTATTTAGGTGTATAAAGTTATTTGGTGCATGTTGATATTAATAGGGGTGGGGGGGGGATGCGATCATCGCAACCCCCTGGCTATACCTATGTATATATATACTGATTCATTAATTTTTCAAAACAACCCTCAATGTATTTAATTATGGGCTTTCAATTAACAAGTTAGATAAAAACAGTCTTCCTTAGCTAATAAGAATCAACCAAAAGCTCAAAATGAAGTCCATGCATATATTCTACAATGCTTTTTCTAGTATAATGTTGTTTCAATTTTGGGAATAATGTTTTTATTTATGTCAGTGAGAAATGTTATTGTACTATTATTACTACCCTGCCGGGCATGTTCTAGGGGTATAAGTGCTAGTTTAGAAGGCATTTATTTTACTATATCGACCTGAGCAATATGTGATGTCAAAGTGACGGGTCATAGTGTCGGACCAATAATGCATTAACGCCCTGCAATTTTCACTGGGAAATGAGATAACGTTCAATGCGTATACCTTTGCTACATCTTATTGCCCTTCGAAATGACATTATTGTAATATTGTAAGATCAGTCTCCAACTTTTTGTGGGCGGTGTCCAGTGGTTGGAATTTGGTGTTCGGCATTCAGAGTTCGGCATCTGTAACAAATGGCAGGCAATGGTGAAATGTTAAGAAAGAACTTTTTAAAAATTTTATCTTTACCTTTAATTTTCCAGATTGAAGCAGTCAGAGTCAGACAAATTTGCCGCTGAGGAAACTGCGAGAAAGCTGGGTCAATATTTGGCAGAAAAAGATGCTAAAAAGTAAAAATCAGATTAAATTTATTGGAGTTTCTTGCTATGGGAGTTGGAGTTCATACATTAAGAGGGGGGTTTATGTCCAAAAGATAAATATTCTGCACTGAATAAGACCCAAGAACTTTTTGACATCTCAGTTTTCAATGATTTTTTAGATAAAGATTTTGATTTAGATTATTCCTCACACCATGGGCTCTACCACCTGATAGAGCCCATGCTCACACTTGCATTAAGATAACAAATTGACTTATATTTTAATTCACATTATCTTAAATATATAATCTATGATGTCTGTCCTGTATCAAAATTGAACTGTCCATCTGAAGTAATATTTATCTTTTATCTTTAGGTCAGCATTAGAAACAGATTTGAAGATAGAGCGTGAATGGAGGGGGACGCTTCAAAAAAACTTAGAACAAGAGAAAGAAAAGGTTGCCCAGACACATAACGAAATACAAAAAATGGTGGAGGTTCAAAAGGTTTGTGTGAAGTTCCTTATATCAAGTTTGATCAACACTTACAAAATAATTTACCTGAAACTCTCATCATTTGGATCTGTCTTCAGGTACATGCCTGTAGCAAGGTTATGCCAAAGGGGTTTCACTTTTCAAAAAATTCCATTGAGGTTCACAATCGACAACTTTGGCCCAATATTACTTAAAAAGTGCTCAGAATGGTGAAAGACTGGATGATTTTGAAAACTATGGGCCTGCATTGTAGCCTTTATTTAAGCTTTTATGGAATGAAATACAAAAATTGGACACTGAAGTACATAATGAAGAATTTACAGTCTTGATTGATTGAAAGAATGTACGCTGAACTTGATTCGTTTAGAGATGTAGTATTAATCAGAATGTGATTGGCTTGAAGACTATGTAACATTGAATTTGATTGCTTGAAAAATCTAGTACAAGGAATATGATTGGTTGAAAGACTTCAACACTGAATCTTATTATTTGAATGACTGAAGCTATGACTCTTTTTGAAAGATTCTTTACCCTCAGTCATAACTGATCAACTGTATCATCCTAGCTTCCCAACATCGAGAAATATGCAGCATAAAATATAGGGGTAAGCAGTTTGATACCGATATTGTGAAGCTACGGCTGCAGAGCAAATGTGATTGAGGGTTTAATGTTATGATTTAAACTTTTTTTTAGAATTATAAGGAGCTTCAGCAACAACACCAAAGGCTTCAACAGACCTGTCATGACCAAGAGTCCGCCCTTTCAGAACTAGGCTCACATCTTAGCGAGTAAGATATTTTCTTACATATTTTTGTTACAATGTTCTGAGTCCAGTGGTAAGCTATCAGAGTTCAAAAATGGAGATCTGAGTTTCAAATGGCAGGTGGTGACATTTTGCATGTTAATGCCTTGTTTACTTATTTCACAAATACTACCTTATTCTAGCTCCGTATGGTTGTGTAATTTTGTATATGCTATATCTATATCTGTTAGCGCCCACCTAGATGTGTGTGGTAGAGGACAGTTTAATGTTTTTCCGTTCTATAAAATGAAATGAGGATGTACACGAAAGGTTACAAATGGAGTTGCATTTTATACAAGTGTTTAAACCTTCATTGAATGCTTAGATTTTTTCATAATATAAACATTGAACACTTTACCATAGTTATAGTTACTATGGTCTTTTATTTGTATGATACCATTATTATTTGTATAAATTACTATAGTAATGGTAGTATTTTCCTTTACTGTATTTTACTGTTATTCCCTGAAGATTTTTAAATAATGAAACATGTTGTAACTTTCAAAGAAGGTATTATATTTGAGTGAAGATGGATCTGTATGTTCCAGGTCAAAGTTAAAAGTTGAGGATTTGAGGGAGGCCCAACAAGCTGTGAAAGAAGCTGCATGGACAGATGATAAAGAAGTGAACAGTTGTATGCAGTGCACTAAACAATTCTCAGTTTCCAGGCGGAAAGTAAGTAGATAATGTCTTAAAAGAAATAGTTATAATCACTAGGATACTCACTAGGAGTATTTTGGATGGTATCCAAGACAACAGGAGATACCAGACTTTGTTAATTTGGTTTCATAAATTTTTACATTCTGGACTGATAACACAACAAAATAAATGACTAAAAATAAAAGATTTTTGCAATCAATGATAATTACAAAAAGAAGGTCTTTATCATTATATTAAGTTGAAAATATTTTGTTTTGAGTTACAGATACTTATCCCTCTAATATTGTTCATTGTCATATTTTGCAGCACCATTGTAGGAACTGTGGCCAAGTGTTCTGTAATGAATGTTCCGACAACAAGATGCCCCTCCCCTCCTCTGCCAAACCAGTACGTGTCTGTGATGCTTGCCACACTAGCTTGCTCGAGAGATACTCTGCTAAAAATTAAAAAGAAGAATTAGTACTCTGAAATTGACCCTTGCCTTTTCAGTCATGAAAATAAAAGATATTTATAGACAGTTTCTTGAAGTAAAAGATATAAAAGAAGAAATATATGATATTCTCCAACATTGACCCTTGCTTTTACTGAATTTAAGACATCTCCAAGACATGAAGAAGTTGAAGTAAATTGTATTTTATATTCTCATTGGGATAACAATCGTGAGATTCATAACCATTTTGATAATCTTCATAATAATCCTGGCAAATTTGAATTACTGATATATTTTTAATGATATTTTTCATAATCATATGTAGACTTTTTTTTTAATTTTCAATTTGTTTTAAGAAGTTTTTGAAATGGTCAATATCTTAAAAAGCAAACATTGTATGAAATGCTTACTTTTAAACTGTTAAGGCAATTTCACCATACAACCCTGAGATTATTATTAAAATCCTACCCTCTGAGGATAACAATTATTACAGTTTTGATACTGATAAGTGTGGTATTTCATTGGGAAATGAAATGAATGTAGAAAATAATGGTAGGTACAACATACCTGTTTGGTAGATGACATTGTCCTGGTTTAACAGATTCTGGTGGCACATACTGATATCTGAAGCTTCATATTGGTAAGGCAAGATCGAAGAGCTATTTTTATTTCATTAGAATGAGGATATATAAAGTACTGTTTAAATATGTGAGTTAAACTCTTTACATAAAAGGATACTTGGATAGTTAATTGGACAACTCGACACAGATGGTTGAGTTGCCCAGGAATGTGATGTTAAAATGAGAATACATAAAGTACTTTTTGGAGGCGTGAGTTCAACTCTTTACAAGGGGTGCTTTGATAGGTAATTGTACAGCTCGACACAGATAGTTGAGTTGCCCAGGAATAAATTGTCAAGGGGTTAAGTTCCATTCTTGATGCTCATATTATCTTTATTTCACAATCTCAATGCTGAGAAGAAACGAGATGTCATAGTCTATCATGATGATAAACTCTTAGATATATGTTTTTGAATACATGTATCATTTACCTGTGATAACAGAAGTCAAATTAAATGTTCTTCTGTTACTGTTAACCACTTCAAGGTGAAATTTTTTGACAATTTTAAGTTTTATAATTTTATACTGTATCACTGATCTTAAAGCTCTGTTCAGATTGGAGAATTTTGCTGTCATGGCTGTAGGCCTACCGACTGTAGATAAATTCACTGACCAAAACGCCATCTTTCTGTTAGATCCAAAGAGAATAGTATACACCATACATGATCGTTCTCATGACCATTACAAGTTATAGAATGTGATAAATTGAAAGAACTATCATGCTAGCCACGGCACCAATGTCAAATAAAGTAGAAATTTGGAGGCAAATCTAAATTGAGAGAAATAAGATGAAAAGGTGTTAAAACGGCTATGAAATACTAGTTTTTAAGAAGATATTGTCATTCATGTGCTGTACAAATATATACATGGATATTGTATATATGTAAAGTTTGATAATTTTAAATAGAATGAATTCAATGAATGCATTAATATGTGGGACTAATGAGCTTTTGTAACCATGCTGATTGCTGACCTCCCCAACTACAATACTGAGATGGTTTCTGGTGTACGGTGTTCTCCATTGTGGGCATCTAGTGTCCACCATATAATAATGTACAATAGTTACAACAGGGTGACCCAAAAATACAGAACCATAAGCCTTTATTCAAGATTTGTGTGTTCTATTTTTGGGTCACTCTGTATAAAGAGTTGCTTGGGAATGGGATGTTAAAATGAGAATACATAAAGTAGAAGTTGAAGAAATGAAGTTACATTGCTACTGTATTACAGTTGAACCTGTATATCTGAACACCTGGCTAATCCAAACACCTCCCAATCTGAACACTTTTTTCGTCCCATATTTTCCATTCATTGACTCCCATGTTAAAAAAATTGAAATGTGAACACCTCTCAATTTGAACAGTGAACGGTCATATTTGAAAAATTAACCTGTCTAATCTGAACACTTTTTATAAAATTTCACATGTTTCATACAAAATTGCTCAAATATTGTTATGATATCAAAACTTAGGGAAAAAACGTGAATGGTCTCAATTATAATAGGGCTTTCGAGCATGAATAGATAGTTTGTTTCAAATTTCTGAAATGCAGTAAAGCTATGTTGTCAAATGAACTATATATATGTACTGAGAAAGGGCTCACATTTCTTCAGAATCTGGAATCTCGCAAATGCAAAAACCTTGAAATGTGAGCACCTCCTAATCTAAACACGTTAAGGCAGTCCCAATGGCGTTCAGATTAGACAGGTTTTACTGTACTGTGTAATATAAACCAAGAAATCGAGATATCTATCATATCTATGTACATATATCTCCAACATTGGAAGTGAGTCTATGTTAGCTTTGTCGGAATGCCATCTATGAGATTGTAATATAAATGGGAGGGTAAATAGTTGGTTCGTTTGTATTGCATCAGGTCTATGTGCAGCTAGCTATCCTTGTTACATGAACATTCTAGATATTTCATCTACAAAACATTTCAATCCTGATTTTTCCAAAAATTGTTCCTGTATGGTAGCTCCTTCCTTTCCCACATGGAGTTGCCTATCAATGTACGTGAATAAGAGATACATGCCAAAAAATCAAAAATCTGGGATCTTTTGAAGAGGCTGTTTGACTTTCAATTTCCCATGAGCCCCATTTTCAAAAACCTTACAACATATTGAAATACATTATAATCTGTCAAGTTGAACACATCTATAAGGTGAACACCTCAGTAAGTGGAATATATTTCACAGTCCAGTGACCCTTTGACTTAATCTTAAACTGACCGCTTGAGTGGAGCATGTTAAGTGGAATCAAAGTTTTTCACCTTTACAGAGGTTTAAGTTTTCAAAATAGAATTTGATGTACATGTAGTTAGTTGAAAAACACATTTCTTTGTTTGAATTGTGCCATTCTGGGCTGTGTGCAATTTTTGGATTATCATTTTCCAAAAGAAAATATTTTTACAAGTGATATAAAAAAATTTAATATATATAGTTCAGTGTCACGTCAGGCGTGAAACTAATCAATTCATTAATGATACCATGTTGTATTAATTTATCTGAACTGTGTTGAAAAACTACCTTTCAATCAATATCAAAGTTTGAGTTGAAAAAAAACTCATACATCACATGGTCTGTACCAATCATTCAAGGCTGCTGGGCATCAAAGGGCAAGAAAATGGACATTGTAATCCAATGGTTTAATTTAGTCTAATGTGTCCTGCATACCGCATTATTTGACCATTGATATAGCGATATTTTGACAGCCAGCCTTATGCTTCATATAGAAGTTTTTACATACAGTACTTGACATAAAAAGTGTTTGCGTTTTGTGCATTTTCAGTCATTTATTACGGTACTTCTTTTAATATAAAGTCTGGCATTTTAATACTGAGACAGTACAGATTGTATTTGGCATTCATTTTTACCTTATAACATGTATAAAATAAATGACCTTTTGTTTATTTAGTGTAAATAGCGTTATGTAAATATAATATTTTATCCATAACAAAAAATGCATTAACAGATTGACTGTAATGTAGCAAAAATCAAAGTATTCCCTGACAGTTTCAGTTTTATTATCAAACTGTACACATTCCATGGAAATACATGTATCCTATGTGCTGTACTGTATATAATTATAAAACAGAATAAAAATGATATCATTATTATAAATTTATGTTCAGTTCTTATATATGAGATATCCGTCATTTAGGTCATTGCCTAAAAACTACTTTAGCCATCATGCATGTCATGTAAAGGATCAATTTGCCATACTTTTTTAGATTTAAAACTTATTTTCATGTAAAGTCCCGTACAGCGCTGTAAAAACAGTACTCTACGCTGTTCAAAACAGGTGATACTAGAATAAAACTGTACATCGCTGTACAGGGCAGATTGGGGATGTATTTACACAAAAAGCTCCATACATATTTTCAAAAACTGGAAATTATGCCCTCATGGATAACATTTTCAGGCCATGCAACTTTTACTTCACCATGTCCTAATTTATTGTAAATCAGTCAAAATATAAACAAAATGACTTTAACATATCTAAATTAATTGTTTGTCCTGCGCAAATGATTAATGAGGGATTCATATTGTAAAACTATACACATTCATATACATACATGTATACACATTGTACTGTATTTTTGCTGCATAATCTTTAAGATAAAGTCCGTCGGTTTCAGTTTTTGTTGCAAAAAAACAATGCCAACTGTGCCAGTAACTACTGCAAATTACATGTAATATCCAGTCCATTCAATATGGCTGTACTTATATACACCCTACTATACCTAACCCCTAGAAATGCATAAGATACTCTGTTTGTCTAATTGAATTGTTTAATATATTTTTGAAAGTAAAAATGTACCTTATTAACATCTAACAGTCATCCGATAAACCATCCGATAATCACATTATCATTACTGATAAGCCAAATAAGTTGCTCATGAACACCAAATGCAAGGTATAGTAGAGTGATATACAGACCTAATATGGAGTTTCATTAATTTTTATGTCCTGTCCTACATGTCCTAGTGACGTAAAATCATTTCAAATCTGATATAACCATCCGACTGCACTTGAATGTTTATAGCTGCATGTTTTTGCTGACACATTCGCAAAATCTCAATTAAATCAAAACAACTGTGATTCTCTAGTTCCTCCCAACAGGTGGCAGTGAAGTCAATACTCTTGTCCTTGGGAACAGACACTTTGAACCTTCCAGCAACCCCATCAGAACACTCCTGAAATGGAAAATCAATATTCTGAGTAATATGGACATTTAGAAAGTGGGGAGTAGCGAAATTGCATTCAACATGTACAATTGATCTACCAATGCATTGTCTACAATCTCAAGTTTACATATATGATATATGACAGTGGCAGCTTATGTAACTTCACTCCCTCTAATAGCCCACATTCCAAGTCATGTTGCTCCACAAAAACCTTCCAGTTATCCAACACCTTGATCACAGCTTCATAGTCATCATCTAAGAACACAGCATGGACTGGAGTAAGTTGCTTCAGTTCATCTAAGATATAGACTTCTATTGCAGACCCTCGGTCCTTACAATTGTTGAATTTTGCAATGTCTGAGATTGGACATTTGTCAGAGGATAGTATAAGATCATCTTTAGTGATGCATCTTGATATGAACCCTAAAATAAAATTTTTAAGCTCACCTCATTGTGTACAATAGTAAATGTGTATTACATATTAATTGTCTGCCTTGTTATAACCCAACACTTAATGTAAATGGGCTCTCCAATATTCATCATGATATTTTAAAGGCCAACTTTCAACATTTTTTGGGCAAAAATGAAGACTTACATTTAAATTTCATAGTATGTCCAATGTATTGATAAGAACCTTATCTTTCATTTGACACCAACAACAGCTCAATGGACCACATCAAAGCTTACAATAAATTATCAAAAAAATATTTTTGATCTTTCAAGCTTTATATATCAAGTTTCTATCAATGTCATTGAAAGATGGCAATGTTGTTTGTATGACATTTATTTTTATAGAAGTGTTGCCATCTTTTAAATCAATAGTAATTTAAAGCATGTACTTTGTTTAACATGTGCATAGCAGTGAAGCTATGTTGTCAAATGAACTATAAATATGTACTGAGAAAGGGCTCACATTTCTTCAGAATCTGGAATCTCGCAAATGCAAAAACCTTGAAATGTGAGCACCTCCTAATCTAAACACGTTAAGGCAGTCCCAATGGCGTTCAGATTAGACAGGTTTTACTGTACTGTGTAATATAAACCAAGAAATCGTGATATCTATCATATCTATGTACATATATCTCCAACATTGGAAGTGAGTCTATGTTAGCTTTGTCGGAATGCCATCTATGAGATTGTAATATAAATGGGAGGTTAAATAGTTGGTTCGTTTGTATTGCATCAGGTCTATGTGCAGCTAGCTATCCTTGTTACATGAACATTCTAGATATTTCATCTACAAAACATTTCAATCCTGATTTTTCCAAAAATTGTTCCTGTATGGTAGCTCCTTCCTTTCCCACATGGAGTTGCCTATCAATGTAAATAAGAGATACGTGCCAAAAAATCAAGAATCTGGGATTTTTTGAAGAGACCGATCGACGACTTACAGTTTGTCATTTGACCCATTTTTGAAAACCTTATGACATATCATCAAATGAAATACAGTAAAACCTGTCAAATTGAAAGCATCTATAAGGTGAACACCTCAGTAAGTGGATTACATCTCACAGTCTGATTTGACTTAATCTTAAACTGACCTCTCGAGTGTGGAGCATGTTAAAGTGGAATCAAAGTTGTTCACATATACAACAGGGGCCATGAATTCGTACGATCCCCAATCCAATCCGGATAAATTTTATCTTTTGGATAAATCTTGGATTACTAATCTGATAAATATTTGGGGAGGTGAATCCCCAAGATTTATCCAATTTGCATTGGAATTTGGATAAAATTTATCCAAAAAGTAATCCACCTCAAGAGGTGGATTTAGATTTATCCTGAGATTAATCCCAGGATCGTACAAATTCACAGATTTTTGGATTAATCCCTGGATTAATCCCACAATGCATCATTACCATGACGAAATTTATCCGGATCGGATCGCGGATCTTATGAATTCACTGCCCCAGGTATTACTGTTATTTCAATATAGAATCTGATGATCTGATAGAATCTGATGATGAAAACATTTATTTCCTTGTTTGAGTTGTGCCATTCTGGGCTCTGTGCAATTTTTGGATTATTATTTTCCAAAAGAAAATATTTTTACAAGTGATATAAAAAATTTAATATATATATAGTTCAGTGTCACATCAGGCGTGAAACTAATCAATTCATTAATGATACCATGTTGTATTAATTTATCTGAACTGTGTTGAAAACTACCTTTCAATCAATATCAAAGTTTGAGTTGGGAAAAATACTCTAATACATCACATGGTCTGTACCAATCATTCAAGGCTGCTGAACATCAAAGGGCAAGAAAATGGACATTTTAATCCAATGGTTTAATTTAGTCTAATGTGTCCTGCATACCGCATTATTTGACCATTGATATTTTGACAGCCCCCCTTATGATTCATATATAGAAGTTTTTACATACAGTACTTGACATAAAAAGTGTTTGCGTTTTGTCCATTTTCAGTCATTTATTATGGTACTTCTTTTAATATAAAGTCTGGCATTTTAATACTGAGACAGTACAGATTGTATTTAGCATTCATTTTTACCTTATAACATGTATAAAATAAATGACCGTTTGTTTTATTTAGTGTATATAGCGTTATGTAAATATAATATTTTATCCATAACAAAAAATGCATTAACAGATTGACTGTAATGTAGCAAAAATCAAAGTATTCCCTGACAGTTTCAGTTTTATTATCAAACTGTACACATTCCATGGAAATACATGTATCCTATGTGCTGTACTGTATATAATTATAAAACAGAATAAAAATGATATCATTATTATAAATTTATGTTCAGTTCCTATATTTGTAGATATTAAATTTAAAACTTATTTTCATGTAAAGTGCCGTACACCGCTGTAAAAACAGTACTCTACGCTGTTCAAAACAGGTGATACTAGAATAACACTGTACATTGCTGTACATGGCAGATTGGGGATGTTTACACAAAAAGCTCCATACATGGAAATTATACCCTCATGGATAACATTTTCAGGCCATGCAACTTCTACTTCACCACGTCCTAATTTATTGTAAATCAGTCAAAATATAAACAAAATAACTTTAACATATCTAAATTAATTGTTTGTCCTGTGCAAATGATTAATGGGGCATCCATATTGTAAAACTATACACATTCATATACATACATGTATACACATTGTACTGTATTTTTGCTGCATAATCTTTAAGATAAAGTCCGTCGGTTTCAGTTTTTGTTGCAAAAAACAATGCCAACTGTGCCAGTAACTACTGCAAATTACATGTAATATCCAGTCCATTCAATATGGCTGTACTCATATACACTCTACTATACCTAACCCCTAGAAATGCATAAGATACTATGTTTGTCTAATTGAATTATTTAATATATTTTTGAAAGTACCTCATTAACATCTAACAGTCATCCGATAAACCTTAATAAGGATCTGACAAATAAAAACAAATCACATTATCATTACTGATAAGCCAAATGGGTTGCTCATGTACACCAAATGCAAGGTATAGTAGAGTGATATACAGACCTAATATGGAGTTTCATTAATTTTTATGTCCTGTCCTACATGTCCTAGTGACGTAAAATCATTTCAAATCTGATATAACCATCCGACTGCACTTGAATGTTTATAGCTGCATGTTTTTGCTGACACATACGCAAAATCTCAATTAAATCAAAACAACTGTGATTCTCTAGTTCCTCCCAACAGGTGGCGTTGAAGTCAATACTCGTGTCCTTGGGAACAGACACTTGGAACCTTCCAGCAACCCCATCAGAACACTCCTGAAATGGAAAATCAATATTCTGAGTAATATGGACATTTAGAAAGTGGGGAGTAGCGAAATTGCATTCAACATGTACAATTGATCTACCAATGCATTGTCTACAATCTCAAGTTTACATATATGACATATGACAGCAACAATTGTATGATTGATTACCTGTTGATTGAGTGGCAGCTTATGTAACTTCACTCCCTCTAATAGCCCACATTCCAAGTCACGTTGCTCCACAAAAACCTTCCAGCTATCCAACACCTTGATCACAGCTTCATAGTCACCATCTCTTAAGAACACAGCATGGTCTGGAGTAAGTTGCTTCAGTTCATCTAAGATATAGACCTCTATTGCAGACCCTCGGTCCTTACAATTGTTGAATCTCGCAATGTCTGAGATGGGACATTTGTCAGAGGATATTATAAGATCATCTTTAGTGATGCATCTTGATATGAACCCTAAAATAAAATTTTAAGTTCACCTCATTGTATACTATAGTAAAAGTGTATTTTATATTAATTGTCTGCCAAACACTTAATGTAAATGGGCTCTCCCATATTCATCATGATATTTTAATTTTCATGAAACCCTTTAATGGTTAATGAACTCACTGTTAAATTATTTTACAGTCAAAATTATCAACTTCTCTTTTACCAATCAGAATTCGATTGAGATTATAAACATTATCATTAATAGTCAGTAATCTAAACAGATCAAATGAAAGAGTTTACATACCTTGTATACTTCTCCATATTTGGCTCTTCAGAACTTCGAAATCTTCATGTATTCTTTCAATACGCGCTTTACCAAGGTTGTCCCTTCCATGTCTGCAAGGATATTCATAGTATAATTGCTTGCTGTTAGAATATGCCATCTTGAAGATCTCTCTCATTGATCCATGTGTTTGTGGTTGCTGTGGGGAAAGTTCTTTGTCGTGTGCCTCCATAGCAATATGATCAGAGACATAATCCCCCAGGTTTGGTAAAGTTACACATTCATGAACCTCTGATAATTTTCTTAATTTTTCACAAGGTTTGCAATTCTTTTTGTTTAGAGCACACTGTACCCCACTCTGTAGACCAGCTATAAAATGTTTTGTAAACATACTGTATTCATTTACAAATCCTCGAGCTTGCTGATCTGGACCAGAAGCTGACCATTGCACCTGGCAAAATCTTGAACTGTCTGATTGGTTGGGTCCTGGTTTATTTTGTGCACCGTCAGTCCCATCGTGTCCTTCAGGACGAGCTTTATGTGTGGCTTCTCCATTGGTATCTTTCACAAGGATAGGTATTTCAGATTGACATTTGTTGGCATGGTGATCAGTTGATGATGTAGATGAGCTTCTTGATAGAGTATCAAAGGATGCAGCATAGCAACAGTCCATCACCACTAACAATTCAACCACATTCAAATCGCTAAACAATTCACAAAGTTGATCCTGGGAGAGAACATCACTTCCCTCTTTGAGGACAAGTTCTGTTCCATTACAGCAATGGCCAGAATAGTAAAATATAAATGTTGCATCCTCAAGGTTGGCCACTTCCTCTTTGATCTGGCGTATTCTATCCAAGATATTAGAGGATGTTGGTTTTGCTGTGGTAAGTGCTGGTGAATAGGTGAACAGATTTTTACCCTCCCTGAAAAGAGAAAATCTCAAAATTAGATAAAATTAATCATTAATCCATAAATAATTACTTTGGCACAAATTTGAATTTTTAATGGATTTATAAAACATTATCAAAACATTTCATTTGTAAGGCACAAATATTCTAATCATACGTTTTGAGGATAATTCTTTTAAATAGTCCATTATTTTTTCTTCATAATAATAAGGAGAGTATTTATATTTTTGTGAGGATCTAGATCAAGCAAAGCTTGAGCATGGGCAGGATTGTTTATCAATCTGATAAAGGTTTCACTTGTATCATCATTTTCATGCAAACCTTCTTTTCTGTTCAGACTTGCCAACCTCCCGTTTTTTTTATGGGAATCTCCCGTAAATTTTTTGTTTTTCCGTAAAAAATACCAAACTCCCATACCGTTTTCTCCCGTAAAACTCCTGTAAACTTAGTATTTCTACTAAAACCTCCCGTAATTTTTTTTAAAAATATGGCTGTAAAATCTCCCATATTTTTGCTGAATTCTCCTGTAAAATCTCCCGTATTCTGGTATAACTCCTGTAAAATCTCCCATATTCTTGGTATAACTCCTGTAAAATCTTCCGTTTTCTGGTATAACTCCCGTAAAATCTCCCGTATTCTTGGTATAACTCCCGTAAAATCTCTGTTTTTTGCTGTCGAAATCTCCCGTATTTAAAAGGAATTTGACAAATTTGTGACCTTGATTATTGCAGGCACGCTTCTTTTACTCCAAGAAGGATTGGCTCCCATGGTTCACTATCAGTACTTTCATAAATAACTTAAAAGTACTTTATTCCCATGATTCAAATTGCTTTTCTACGATCAGTTCGGTATAAGTTTGCACACCAAATGTCCACAAATGGGGGGGGGGCAGTTCATATTCTGTCATACTTCTGTCGGGAGAATACATTTTGTTTTTAAATGGCGCTAAACAAAATATTCCCGCAATATAAGGCGCATTATGGGTAGGGACTGCTGTGAAATAATGAACGTAAGTGACATCTATCTAAGATTATAAGTTTCTAATTAATTTATTAACTGCGCATGCGTCATAATAATTTCAACCAATTAAATTGCTGGATTTAATACCGTAAAAACTCCCGTTTTCTCAAAATCTACCGTAAAAACTCACGTTTAATTCAAAATCTACCGTAAAAACACCATTTTTTTCAGAAACCTACCGTAAGAACTCCTGTTCTTTCAAAATCTACTGTAAAAACTCCAGTTTTTTCAAAATCTTAAGAAAAAATTCCCTTTTTTCAGGAATCTGTAAACTTAGTATTTCTACTAAAACCTCCCGTAGTTTTTTTTAAAAATATGGCTGTAAAATCTCCCATATTTTTGCTGAATTCTCCTGTAAAATCTCCCGTATTCTGGTATAACTCCTGTAAAATCTCCCATATTCTTGGTATAACTCCTGTAAAATCTTCCGTTTTCTGGTATAACTCCCGTAAAATCTCCCGTATTCTTGGTATAACTCCCGTAAAATCTCTGTTTTTTGCTGTCGAAATCTCCCGTATTTAAAAGGAATTTGACAAATTTGTGACCTTGATTATTGCAGGCACGCTTCTTTTACTCCAAGAAGGATTGGCTCCCATGGTTCACTATCAGTACTTTCATAAATAACTTAAAAGTACTTTATTCCCATGATTCAAATTGCTTTTCTACGATCAGTTCGGTATAAGTTTGCACACCAAATGCCCACAAATGGGGGGGGGGGCAGTTCATATTCTGTCATACTTCTGTCGGGAGAATACATTTTGTTTTTAAATGGCGCTAAACAAAATATTCCCGCAATATAAGGCGCATTATGGGTAGGGACTGCTGTGAAATAATGAACGTAAGTGACATCTATCTTAGATTATAAGTTTCTAATTAATTTATTAACTGCGCATGCGTCATAATAATTTCAACCAATTAAATTGCTGGATTTAATACCGTAAAAACTCCCGTTTTCTCAAAATCTACCGTAAAAACTCACGTTTAATTCAAAATCTACCGTAAAAACACCATTTTTTTCAGAAACCTAGCGTAAGAACTCCTGTTCTTTCAAAATCTACTGTAAAAACTCCAGTTTTTTCAAAATCTTAAGAAAAAATTCCCTTTTTTCAGGAATCTACCGTAATAACTCCCGTTTTCTCAAAATCTGCTGTAAAAACTCCAGTTTTTTCAGAAATCTACCTTAAAAACTCCCGTTTTTTTCAGAAATCCACCGGAAAAAACTCCAGTTTTTTTTTAAATCTGCCGTAAAAATTACCGTTTTTTCAAAACCTACCGTAAAAACTCCAGTTTTTTCAGAACCTACCGCAATAACTCCCGTTTTTTCTGAAATCTTCCGTAGAAAGTCACGTTTTTTAAAATTTACCACGAAAAATACCTTTTTTAAAAGATATTCCGTAAAAACCCCAGTTTTTTCAAAATTTACCGTAAAAACTCCCACTTTTTTTCAAAAAACTCCCCCAAAAACTACCGGATTTTGAAAAAAACTCCCGTAAAAGTACCGCAATTTTTTTTAAATCTCCCGAAAATTTTTCATTTTAGGTTGGCAAGTCTGATTATGGTGGCTTTAATTTGATTTTTGTTGACCCTGGAGTGACACTATCACTGGTCAGTATCCAGTGAAAGTAATGTCCATACATTTATCCATAAACCAGGCTTATTGACATGTAATCTCTGGAGTATGATCAATTGTTCACATATTGTGCATAGGTGCTACAGTTCAACAATATCTTCCATCGCTTAAAGGAAGGTAACTGGGATTTTATTTCATGATGACCATTACCGAACATACTTGGGTGCATCAAAAAGTTTTGCAAATTTGATACTATCTCAAGTTCTACATATAGCTTTGATTTGAAATTTGGCACAATTATATACCATATATCTATACATAATGTGTCACGATTTGATTGCTCATCTGCGATTGGTTAAAAAGATATGGTTACTATGGTAACAGGACCCGAGGGTACTCGGTTCCACCTAGAATATGTTAATTTTAAATTATTTTATATTGTGTTATCACAGGGTGTTCAAAAAAAACGCAACCCAAGGAAATCGCTATATCTTGGAAAATACTCATCCAATTATGTTCATATTTTCAGGAAAGAAAGAAGAGACTGTGTATGTATAGCCCCTGTTGTTAGTTAGTTGTAAAACATGATGTCTTGGACACTTGCTCAAAAGACAGTTGTACTAGCAAATTACGAAAAACGCGAATGGAAAATCACTATATCTTGAAAAATACTAATTCAATTATGTTCATTTTTTCAGGAAAAGAAAGAAGAGGCTGTGTATGTATAGCTCCTGTTGTCAGTTAGTTGTAAAACATGATGCCTTGGACACATGCTTAAATGACAGTTGTTCTAGGAAAACATGAAAACGCAGTCAGAGGTGACTGCCACAGCAATAAAACCATTAACTTTCTAACCATGGTATTTTGGCACTTCAGATTTAGCACAAATTATCCACATTCAATGTGTGGTGAATTTGTAGAGTTTCATCAAAATCACTCCTGGGACTTTACAGTCATGGTCAAAATGCCTTCTTAAGTCTCCCTGAACCAGGGCGTTTGACTGCGATTTGAAAGCATTTCAACCATGACTGTAAAGTCCCTGAAGTGATTTTGATTTCACTCTACAGATTTACCATACAGTGCATGAAGATGATTTGTGCCAAATTTGAAGTGCCAAAACACTATGGTTAGAAAGTTATTTAATTTTTTTGAGGTTGCAGTCATCCCTGGCTGTGTTTTTCGTATTTTCCTAGTACAACTGTCTTTTGAGCAGGTGTCCAAGGCATCATGTTTTACAAGTAACCATTTACAGGAGCTATACATACACAGTCTCTTCTTTATTTCCTGAAAATATGAACATAATTGGATGAGTATTTTCCAAGATATAGCGATTTCCTTGGGTTGCGTTTTTTTAACACCCTGTATTATGATTCAGTCACCTAAATTACAGGTTTGTGTGTCTTTTCAAACCCCTTTTTCTATTTCTTATTGTTCTGATGACATCAGACAAGACTTATGACATATGGATTCACATTTTGGTGTAGCTTGTGGGGAGAACTTTTGAATTCTGGCAGCCATTTTGTTTCAAGTAAATTTTCTCTATCGGCTAATGGACAATGACTGATACGTCTACAACAAGTAAAATTCAAAAATGGAAACACAGAAACCTTATTAAATGCACTTAAAGAGATATATGACATTGTCAAAGGTGCATTTGGTGATGAGGCCAAAGACGATACTACACTGTGGAGGTGGTATAATGTCTTCAAAAGTGGAAAGCATAAAACTCTCTCAGATAAGCCAGGGAAAGGTAGACCTAAGACATCTTTAACTCTAGAAGAATCAATGAACTTATTGAACAGGATGGACATATTACTTATAATAGTAGTATTGACGAAATCAGTAAAATACTGGATATCTCATTTGTTTCTTGCCAAACCATTATCACCAAAGTGCTGAAGAAGCGATGTGTGGCCTCCAAATTGCTAATCATCTTAAGCATCTTATGTTGCTATGACAACCATATTTTCTTTAAAAATGAAGATCCAATCTCCAAATTTTACAGGTATGTCCACAAATGTATGATCAATGTATGTGCCAAATATGATGACATAACTCAATATAGTTATTGTGATAGAGTCAAAATTGCAAAACTTTTTGATGCACCTAAGTACATTTACCTTCCCTCAACATTTTCAAAAAAACAGAGATTGCACCATAATCAAACAATAAATTAATAGGCACATGTATAGCCACTTAATGCAGCAATAGCAGTAATAGACATAGATGTTTTACCTAAGTCCTCCTATGATCCTGTGGTCAGAGAGGGCATTGGAAATACCGAGTGCATCTCTAGCAAATATGTATTGGCCTATTCCAAAGTGATAAGCTCCCACCACAACAGCATATGTGTTCTTGTGACCTAAAATGCAGTATGTATATCAGTGTTCTGAATAGAGGGTTTAAAGAGAGTATCAGATATAGCGAGCAGGGTAAACAAAAAATTATTTAAATTTTACAGTATTTTTGGCTAATGTCATTCCTAGTCATGCCTATTGTCTAAAAATCACAAAAGTGAATACTTAATTCCAGGAAAACTAAAGATTTTTACAATAATGTATTATTTTCTATAAGAATGGTTATCATTCTTATTATTTGGGAGAATCTAATCATTTTTAACTCATTTTTGCACTTTGAATCATTAATAACTTCACCAATTTATAAGATATTGTGAATCTTTTGGCAGATATTGTATTTGATATTGTAAGGAATAGATTATTAGGTCAATTTAACATGTTGCTTGTAATTTTGTCACCCCCTATAGATCAGATTCTGCCTTTAAATTACTACAAAGCTTTTAAATCTTTAAGTCTTGTTTTTAATGTGATTTTAGGAGATCTTCATATTCAATCATTAGGACTTTACTTTTCATTAATTTGATGACATAATTGAATTATGTGCACCATGTTTGACAAGAAGAACTTTGATTTTCACAGATTAAGTTTTCTGAAAAAAGCTATGTATATCCCTAGTGACAAAATATTAAAAATTGTTAATGGGTTATCAACCTGCATCACAAGTTGCAAGTCATCAAGATCATCGAGTGGCATCCCTAAAAGGAGTTTTACATTCATCCAATCGGAATTATTTCTTATATATAAAAAGAAATGGTTTTCTAGCACCACCCAAACTAATATTGACATTTATTTATTCACTATATAGCATTTCATTTAATGGGGGAACAGATTCATCAAATCTCAAAATATATTCCAACTTCATTCCCAGAATATTATTCTGCCCCCTTTTCCTCTTCCACTCTATGTTGACATACAAGCTTTAATGAATTACCTATAGGTGGCTCTGCAGGTCCATGAGTGGGGCAAACCAAGGGGTTTCTATATGCCAACATGTAGCAATCCTTGCAGTATAGACAGCAAGGAGATGCAGGATTATCACAATTTGCTGATCTCAAACTTAAGTATTTGGCTGAAAAAGAAATATTCATCAGTACTTACTGTCAACTTATACAAAAATAGGTACACTGCTCAGTACAGCATACTGTACTCAGACTTATATTTGACTCTATCATATTTCACGTTTTTGGCATTTTGAAATTTCTCAGCTATTATATTTCGCTAATTTTCAGTTTTTTGAACTTTCGCGGCTATTAATCTCCGTGGATTTGTCATACAGGATCACTCTTTCAACTTTGATATCAACCATGGTTGTTCTTTCACCCAATTTCGCTTCTTATTAAGCCTTTTCGTTAGAATGTTCATTTTAATACAGTCAGAACAATCTCTTGTCTAATTTCTCTTTTTCAAAACTCAATGTCACGTTTTTACCTATTATCGCCAAGCATTGGACGAAAGTATTGTCAACATTGAAATCCTCAGGAATTTCCTTGGAATTTTGCGACGATCAAATTGAGCGAATTAAAACTGGAGGAATTTCGCGGCTATTATATTTCGCAAATTTTCCAAAACTCAAGAAAAGCGCAAAGTATAGTAGCGCGAAAAATTACCGGGAGTACAGTATTTTGTTCACTTGTGTTTTTCTTCACAACTGTTTTTCATTAATGATCCACAATCAATTTTTTCCACAATTGATTTTACTCAGACTTGGTTTTGCATTGGTTATAATGGCCCAGTTCACATCTTTTCTACCTAAAATTATTATCTATTCATTTTGAAATTTACATGAGACGCCTTATGGCAATATGGCATGTACACATTATACCATATTTTGTTTTGTTTCTGATAGAAAGTGAATAACAACCAAGAACAAAAATATGCATTCATGAAATTTTCATGGTTGGGATGAGTGCAATGCAGGTTTTGTTGAATTACGATTAATGGTTTATCTAAGTGTTCAGATATTTTATTCAATCTAACTCAGGTTTTGTTGCTTGATGACAATGTTAACTAACCAACTTTATTCAATTTGCAGCCAACACACAATTCCAGTGATTCTTTATTTGTTTCGTAATTGTAAGCCGTTTGTCCAACTTTCTCACAAAGAACCTAAAACAGTTGGGAGAATAAGAATAAACACATTTTGGGAAGTTGTGCTGAGATGATTGAATAAAACACAAAGTGCTAATTTTTTCACTGGAAATAAGCAAGGACGTCAACGTCAGGTTGACGTCCTTGAAATAAGTAACAACCTTAAAATTCAACATGGCTGTCATAAATTTAATCAGAATGGATAATGAGATCTTGGCGGAAGTAGATTTTTGCATCTGCAGATTTTAAGTTTAATAAATCAAAAACTTTCTTCTTGTTTTCTTGCTGACAAGATTTTGTACAAGTGCAAGCTGACAACAATATAGCACTTGTCAGGTAAAGTAAATCTGAATTAATCACACAAAAGATCAGAGTCTTTAAATATGAGCAATACTAAAGAGAAGGTTTAGTTTTATGTGCAGAATAATTTGTATAATACCTACTAGACTTTTTGTCATACAAACCAGAACTTTACAAAAGACTTAAAACATGAATTGAATAAATGAGCTTGTAAATGTATACCAACTGACCTGTAGGCGCTTAGAAATGTCTTGAAGAGGCAACCTCTGTTTTGTATCTGCATGAATAGCACCTAGGATCAGCTCACAAAACTCTTTATTATCCATTAACTCTGAACTCATCTAGAACAAAAGTTACATGTTTATGTCCCAATTGATACATTTGAGTCTGTTTGCAGCAATCTGTTTAAAAGGATTTAACCCCTGGAATAACCATTCCTTGAAGGTGCTGCTTTGTAAGTACCAGGTCGTTCAATAAGTTCACGGAAAAATGCTCTCATTTCAAAGTTTTTGATATTTTCTCATGAAATTTTCACACAATGTACAAAAGTACTTTCTATTTGGTTCTTAAAACATCAGCATCTCTAATTTGATTAATTATGGTACATGTGGTTTGTATTAATATCATATTGCTATTTGCTATTAAGCACTTATCAATCCTACATTCAAGTCTAAGAAGTATATACTTTGTTGAAAGTATATTTGATAAAAAGAACAACCCATAAAGTAGGATTTTTGAATACCTTTGCCGTATGACTGGCTAAATTATGAACATTTTGGCTGAGGGGTGCTCCAAAATCCAAAATATGTTCATCTTTCAAATATTCAACAATTTGTTTTTGATCTATGAATGGACCTTGGTTCAGCAACAGTTGTAGCATCACTGAAATCACAAGAGAACATAGTTTTAGTCTGAATAAGGTGTAACATCTAACAGAAATCAATTGGTAACTTCAATTATAGCAAGAATCAGATGCAAGAATGCCATGCTTTTCCAATCTTCTTATTTAATGCAATATTTTAACAGCAAGTTCTTGGAATTACAGCATGAAAAGTAGTTAGTGGCATATTGTTGTGAAAATGGCATGTAATCTCTGCACAAATGCTGGGGCAACAAGAAATGATCATTCACAAGCAGAGAAGGGTCTTAGTAGAAATGTAATAACCAAGGCAAATCTTAACAGCTGAAGAAAATTTAATATAAAAGAGGATATAAATCTACTGCTGGACATCATTTTCAGGTACAGTAAAACAGTGGCCATGTTTTTTCAGGAAAATATCGGCTTTGTACAAAAAATGTTGCACCTCGTTCCCAGTTACTCACATATGTGGGGCATAATACAGTCTTTGAAGGTTTTTATTTATTAAGTTTATGATCTCCGTCAATGCTGAATTGTAGATGCATTAATGCACTCATATGCCTAGACATGTACGAGTACGTCTTATAGATCTTACATTTGTCTAGTCATAAAATAAAGCCAAAATTGCAAAATTGTTTATCTTTGCTATTTTATCCTTCATCAAAATTGTACTATTGAAGACTCGTTCACTAGAAGCAATCTACACTAAAATTGTTTTTCTTTTGCTGGGGACTTCCAGGAAGTCGTCTTAAAGGTATGACTATATTGCCACATTTAGGTTGCATTACAACTTTGTCTCTTTATGGGTGTGCCACTCTCCCATCATTCAATTGGGAATCATCATCCACAGTTGAGGAAACAATTACACTTTTGTGTGTTGGGCTAAATTTATGATCCCTGAGACTAAAATCATTGTTACCCTTGCTGTGATTTAACAAGGCATTAACATCACCTCCGAATAGCCTGACAACGGTAAAGTCAGATAATGTTGTCACAAATGGCGGACATAACCGTTGCTTCAATTAGATTTTTTCATGAACTTTATGTTTAATAGAGCAACTAGACTAGATTCATTTGGAACAACAATCAATCAAAGTGTCTAAATACTCATTGTACCAGGTCGTTCAATAAGTTCACGGAAAAACGCTCTCATTTCAAGGATTTTTGATATTTTCTCATGAAATTTTTACACAATGTATGAAAAATACTTTCTGATTGATTCTGAAAATATCAGCAACTCTTATTTGATTGGTCAAAAATAAGGGTTACTATGGTAACTTGACTTTTGGGTAGGCGGGGCACTTTTTACGTCACATTATTCATTAGAAAAACAACAGAATAGTAGGCAATTTATGAGTATATCACATGAATTTCTTCTCCGCTTTCTACTTGCACATGATATTACTTATGTAATGATAGTAAAAACTATTGTCCCATAAGGTTTTAGAAATATTCTCCCTCATGTTTAATGCACAGTAGGTTGCATTCAAGCCATTGACGAGACAATGCTCTGAAGCCATCTGGAAAACTTGTTTAAGGGCAATCTGGACTGCAGTCGAAAGTAGTTTCATTGTTTCATAAAGTGCACCTCTTAGCTGATCCTAGTGGAAACAGCAAAATCAAAGTTGTCTCATCTGGAGAGTTTGTAACTTGGGGCAGCTTTGCCATCTATTTTGCCATGGTTTGGTGATGGTTTCCTGCACAATATTAGCAGTGTGATGGGCTGGATAATTCTGATGGAAAAATTTAGAGTTTGGCTGAATGGAAGTTTTAATCAACTTACCATACCATTACTTTGTTGATTTTCTGGTCCACTGGTACAGCATTGACTAGCACAATTTCAGAAATGTTCGTGAAAACAATGAACATCAATTTTCCCTCAAAGATTTGTAATTTGAATAAGAACAAATAAAAAAATAAGGATCCTTCCTTTGCACATATTGATAGATTTCTGTAATGGTAAATTGTGTGACGTATAAAGTGCCCCGCCTACCCAAAAGTCAAGTTACCATAGTAACCCTTATTTTTGACCAATCTAATTAGAGATGCTGAGATTTTAAGAATCAATCAGAAAGTATTTTTTAAACATTGTGTGAAAATTTTATGGGAAAATATCAAGAATCTTTGACATGAGAGCATTTTTCCGTGAACTTATTGAACGACCTGGTACAGTTAACAATGTTCTACCATTGAAATAAAGTCTTTAATTTAACCGAACAAAAAGAGATACAGGACAACGGACACTGTAATTACCATATGCCGTGTCTTTTTAAATTACTCAAATTCAGATTCCGTTGTCATTGATGATATTGAAGACGCTATATTGTGGCGATTCACGACCCAATTTGATCCAAAATGGGATTTCATATGATACATTATCACAAGATCTTAATGCATGCACAGAATTAGCAATGATAAAATCCCAGGAAATGAGGACTAAGTGATTAAACAGTTGAACCGACGGTTATGTCCGCCATTTGTGACAACGGTATCTGACTTTACCGTAGTCAGGCTATTCCGGTGTGAACATGACAAAATGTTGGTAGTTGCTTACAATCTTAGATTTGAACTGTTGAGAACTTGTAGATGATTATGAAAACAATTGGTCAATTTGAAGCAAGTTGAAAAAAACCTTTTTTGACCTTCATAAGGTCAAATCTCAAATCTAAAGTCAGATTTGAACTCCTGATAACTTGTAGATGATTTGAAAAATACCTTTTTGATCTTTATTTGACCTTGAAAAGGTCATTGAAGGACAAATCTTAAATATAATGTCAGATTTGAACTTCTGAAAACATGTAGATGATTTTGAAAAAAATTGAAGTCAGTCTAAACAGTATTCGTTAAGTTATTGGAAGTTGTAAGAATTTGTTACAGATGCCGATCACCAACCACCAACTGCCATTCGCCGACCGCTGTAAAAAAAAACCGAGACCATAACAATATGTCACCACTTTTTGGTGGTGACATAACAAAATGAAACACAGAATTCCATTTGGCAAATCCCCAACATATTTAAACATAATTTAGCGTAGATTTTCCCTATACTGAACGTGTCTTTGAATGGTGCTATTTTGAACTTTTATGAATTTTATGACTTTACCTACATATATCTTTCTTTGACTAGACAGATTTCAAATCTATAAATACTATGAGTACATTAGTTCATCTAAGTTAGAAGTAACTAAGATTGGATAATCTTTTAAAGTTATAAAATTGAACCCTTCAAAGACTGTACATGGGTACAAATTACAGTTTTTTAATACAAAGTCTAAAATATTGGTGTAACACTTGCCTCATCTGCCTTTGGCCTGGACATGCCTATGATATTAGTATGATCTACTGTAGTAGCTCTTACCTATGCCAAAACTATAAACATCATTCCTCTCATAAAACTTGAACTTTTGCCCATCCTTAATAAAGCGACTTGCAATATCAGGATCTATATAGCCTGGAGTACCACCCATCCCAGGAGCTGTTACGCTGGACTTGGCTTCATCTACTTCCTTTGCTAAACTAGGGTCTGAGAGACAGGCATTTCCTAGTTTGTCTAGGAGAATATTGCCAGGTTTGACATCACGGTGTAGAATTGGCTTTTCCCTGAAACGTACAGTATAGACAATCTAAAACTGTATTTATTCACTATAGTTGCCCTTCAATTTTTTTTACACTAGAATCATGTCCCATTAAGTCCCAACTAGTCCCCTGTAAAAGCTATGAATAAGTAGCGCAAGTGCCAAAGGGAAAGTACAAAAAAAGCTTACAGGACACACAAGAAAAAAACATAACAAACATGAATACAGTACTGTTTGGAAAGAAAGAACATGACATATGAAACTGACCCATAAGGTCCCCGTGGGATTCCTTTGGAGTACATTGGAGTTTATGACTAAATGCAATCACTCAATTCTTTCTCTCTTACCTGACATCTGGTACTACAGTATGATAGCATAGTAGACCTTGAGACACATGGTAGGCAATCTGAACCCTCTCTTTCCATGTCAACACTCCTTTCTGGGATCCATTCTTCTGGAATAAACGATTCTCCAAGTCTCCGCCCTCCATGTAAGGATACATTATGCAGTATGGTTGTCTGAAAATTATGAAGAATTTAAATGCTTTAAATGAAGAACATGTATATGCACTATAAGTCTATGAGTGCAGATGAAAATTATTAAACAGTTTTTTGAAAATTACCTGAAACGAAAATAATACAGTATGTATAGTAGTGGTTCATGTTATAAGTCATGCTGTACACAACTAGGTAACACTGTACATATATTATTTTACGTATTAGTTTATCATTCAATACAATATGAACAAAAACAGTCCCCTCATACTCAAGTAATCAAAACAAATGATGTATGGATAGACAGAGAATAGGTTTTGCTATACCCTGGCCAAGTTTCATTCCATTAAATAATTTTACAGACTGCTTACTCTATTTCTTTACTGCAAATAATAAACTGCTCACCCTATTAATTGAGTTACTGCAAATATTGGCACTACAAAAGGGTTCTTGATAGGAGCTGTCTGTAATTCCTACAATGAAGACATTATTCACATCCATGTGATTAGACCTAATATTTATAATAGCAGATGTATAAATATGCCAAGGTACCAAATGTGGAACACATGCTTATCTTTAATTTTTTATGTTTGTATATCTATCATACATTTAAACATACATAAATCAAATAAATTGAAATAATTTAGAGGGAAATGAACTCACCATTTGGAACTGTTTGTCAGAATCTGAATTAGCAATCCTAGATGCATTATCATGAGATACCTTTATTGCCACCTCAACATTCCTGTACTTTTTGCAGCCTACAAGTAAAACAATTGGTTGGTCAAAATATTGGGCTTTGTTATAGTGAAACCCATTATACTGATGCGCATTGTACCGAAAGGCATTATACTGAATGCCATAATACCGATGTGCATAGCCAGTACAGAAAAGTTTTCCTGTGTGACTTAAAAGTGATATATTTATATGCCTATAATGTTCATTAGATGTCTGATTAATCAATCTTCGAAAATGGAGCTATTTTTAAAAAAACAGTTGCCAAAATTTTAACACTTATTCCATGTTGTCCAGCCAGGTCAAACTGAAAGGATTCATTCACGAGGGCAGAGAATCGGGCTTAAAATGTAAAAAATATATAACTGAATTGAGATTAAATGTATGTTGCATTATACTTATGTAAGGGATAAATATTTTTTGGACAACGCATACAACGCGTTGTTTGCTGCTTTCTTTAAGTTTCCCTTGAACCATGATGAATCCCAAATTCTGTTGCTCTTTTTGCCTGGTCTTCTTAACGTGAATGATTTTAAATAATACTTATCATAATGATCTACCATCTTCTGTTAAGGGTTTTCGGTACAACGCGCATCAGTATATTGGTTTTCGGTATAATGCGTGTCGGTGTAATACCATTCGGTATAATGCGCGTCGGTATAATGAGGTGATCCCAAAATATCAATGCCCATGCTAATGTGGGGACCAATCCTGTTTTTCTTAAAAGTTTTGCACCATACATTCACAGTAGATGTAATCTTTAACTTTGATCATTTTCAATTATGTTGGCCCCTAAACACCCTTGTTCTGCAAAAGACACATTGGCGTGCAAATATAAATAAATAAAAAAGAGCAATTTTAAAATATTTTCACTTATATGTTTATATGTTTTACATACTGTGTATTTTGCAACATTTTGGTATTTCCTCTTTGGCACTTGTGGTTACATACATAGTGTATTTGTAGATTTGAATTGAAAAGCTTTTTACCTTTGTAAACTTTTCCAAAACCTCCCTTCCCAATACAGGGCGACTGTTTGATGTATTGTTTCATTTCCATTGCACTTATCTTCTCATACTGGATGTTTGATGTAAGATCCTCATCTTTTGTCTCCACAGCAGACCCATTTTTGCCAGGAATGTTGGATGGTGTTTCTTGAGGCAATAGTCCTGTGTTTGCAGTCAATGGATATTGTTCAGAGTCCAGATTTGAAAAGTCAATGTGTTGAACAGCTGCTTGGAGAAAATCTCTTATTTTGATATCGGGGCATTTCTCCTGAAGTTTGTGTGCTATATCAAGCAGTAATCCATCCCATGAAACATAATGGTTCTTTTTTAAATCATCAAGTTTATCCATCATTTCAAGTTGCAATACCAACTCAAAGGCAGTGAAATCATCTCCCGCCATTTTTAAAGGGATCAGTAGGTTCTTCAACAAATTAATTTGTCCGGGAGCTTTTTCTAAATGTAATGTACACTCATAGAGTAATTTACGGAATGGCGAAATCTGATCATTAACAGTAAGCTTGGATCCAATATTCTGCTGCAAGATTTGAACGAGATCTTTCTTGCCCATTTTCTTTAAGACTTCATGGAGGAGACTATAGCTGTATTCCTTGTCTGTTATAAGACCTTGCTGTGCCATAAAATCCATGAGCCCTAGTCCGTTTTCAACCTTCAGCAGTTTGGATTTTTTAGGTGCACTGACATGGTCCCACAGCAGCAGTTTAGCTCTGTTTGTGTCTTCCTTATCAAGACATCTTGCTATATCCAGAGTTATGCTGCGGAGATCTGGAAAATATGACAAAGCTAAAGTGATCTCTTCCTTATTGAAGTGGTCCCTCGAGAAATACACAAATTTCCTTTGGGATAAACCCTGTATCCAAAACCTCCTAGTGCATAACCCTTATCTGTATTCCAGGCTTTGTATAAAAAACCTCCTACCTCATACCCACGTACGTGGGACATGATAAAGTCTTTGAAGGGTTCAATTTTAAAGATCTTAGTTTATTAAATCTTAGTTTATGATGAATTATAGATGCATTTGTAACGACCCTTGATGGCAAGTTGCTACTACATCCCAGCTAGGTTCGATTCCCACTCGGGGCATCGAATTCAGCACACTTTCTTTCAATTTCTTTATCTGGCTTGTTGGACCTATGCTCGCGGTCGTTAGTTATTTATTCCCCTGGGGCGCCCTCGGGTCATTACACATTAAAATGCATCCATATGCCTTTATTAATGGATCTGTCATCCGTCTCGTCATAAAATGAAGCTGGAATTGTACAAATATTAATAATTTGAGCTATTTTGAGATTTAATAAACTTTAAAATTGAACCCTTCAATGACTGTATCATGTTCCACAGGAGGGTAGGTGGGTATGAGGTAGGAGGTTTTTTATACAAAGCCTGTATTCCATACCTGATAAGGTTTCAGGGACAAATGAACTGGGGAATATATTCCATATCCAGGTGAATAAATTTCATATGTCCCTCACATGTATTCAACTCCAGTCGTTCTCTTGGACATACGATGGCTATATATCATGACCCGGGAATTCACGTCATTACTATTTCAGTACTGAACTAAACAAAAGACAATGATGACAGGCAAATGGAGAAAATTCAAGATTTAAATAATGTGGATGGATTCTAAGTAAACACAGAAAATGAACACACTGCAAAGAAAACTGGTTTGGATGCTCAAGTACTGCGTGCAATTATTTCAAACCTCATAATACAACAGTTATGCATGGTTGGTTTTGATACAGGAAAAATCCCTTGACATATACAATATTTCTTCGGGCCCTAGGGAAGAATTGTACATGTATAGCCCTTGGGATCTGTATCCAAAACCTCCAAGTGCATAACCCCTATGTATAGGTTATTGCAGTGATCTATCTATGTACAGTTGCTCTAATGCTCAGAAGATCACTGTATTGTTCCCTAAAATTCCCCATCAAGAAAATGATAAAATCTAAATTCCCAATTATGCCATACCCCTCTCCCTTACCGAGACAAATGATGAGATGATGTAGACTTAAATCTTACCTCTAACAGGACTTGGTCCAGGGATACCAGCAAGAAACTCCTTCTTGTTGGAACCTTTCTCCATCACCTTTAATAGAACATGATTTCATAATTTTGCCATAAAAAGAGAATCTTTTTTTATATTCTTCCAAAGGAAACTAGGAATGGAAAGGTACAAGGTAAACAATTGCATACATGTACTCATTTGGCTAAAAGGGTACCACATACAAATTTGTTCTGATTTCAAACACACATCTATACATCATATACTTATTTAAACATGTGTAATGACCATGGATACAAGTTGCTACTACAGCACAGCTGTGTTGACTTAAGTCTAATGGCTCAGGGGTAGAGCATCATACTCAGAACTGGAAGGTCCTGTGTTCAATTTCCACACGGGGCATTGAATTTAGCACACTCCCTTTGATGTCTGTATCTGGCTTGTTTCACCACAGCTGCCTGGGTCGCATACTGTGGACATCAAAGGTATACAGAAATCGAAGATGTGATAGTATATGACATCTAGTATGGAATTGTACTTAACGCTATTACTGTTACTACATTACAACACCTTCTGGACCTTTATTGACCCTTAAAACTAGTTTATCCTCTGGTATTCTGTGACATCATATTACTGCCTAAGACTTACCTGTAACACCTCCTGACAACACGCCTCCATCTTTCCCTCATCTAACCTCACAGCAGGTATCCCCTTCAGTTCAAAAGGAATTTCTGTCTCATTAATTCCAAACATAATAGGTATGATGGTATCCAACTTTCCCGATTCTGCTTTAGAGAATTGTGTCACTTGTTGCTTTAAACGATTCAACCCTTGTGCACTGTCCAAGAATTTTTTTGTCAACAGTATCAATGTGAATTTAGTCCTTTCCGCAATAATTTGTAAGCTCACAAAAATACTTTCTCCTAAATTAGCATCTCTACCAGCAACATAACCTCTAATCTTTCCCTGAGTTTCTAAATATTCCGTAATTTTTACTGCCATATCCTCATCATAGTCTTCTTCATATAGGATGCCAAAATCATAATGTCCATTTGACTCTGTGTTTTCCCAGGATGCCATTTTTGACTTAACTCGTTGGTCAAGTCTCGATGTTTTTTTAATTCCCTCTGCAAGGTTTACTCAAATTCTCTGAAAAGAAACAGGAAGTAATTATTTCAAAACCTACAAATGTTCTGTAGAAATGTGTGTAATGCGGCCATTTACCTGAGCAAAAACAATCGGATAGATGTTCCTCTTCTTTATTAAAAAAAGCCAATCTAATTAGTCTACCCTAAATTATCTGCAACAACTGAACAATGTAATGTCATTCTGTCTTCAATTCTATCAACTCCTGACCATTCAAAATGAAAGAGGAAGTAAAATTGTTGCTTGAGTTTAAATGTGCTATAATTTAAAGATGTCTCTGTAAATGATTATAAAATGTTTTAAGCTTTATTGGTACAGCTTTATTTAAAGATGTCACTAGCTGCAACATATTGACGAGTTTGAAGGATCTCGTTCGTTGTTATCAGACACAGTTACAGAGGGTAGTTGGTCATCAGACTGATAGTGAGTTAGTGAAACTGAACATTGCACCATTTCTGAGCCACTTATCAAATCAACAATCTCTTAGAAAATGTCAGCTTGTTATACATTTTAAGATGTAATGTGAGATTATTAATCATTTTCATGATGAGTGTATAAGCCTACTATTAAATATGTTGAATATTACACAAGTACTAAAAAAATTGCTTCTAATAGCTTACTTTTGGTTTCAGGAAATGCCTTTAAACTAGATAATAAAAAAACGCCTACATACAGTATTAGTATACTGTTCTAGCTGAGTTAGCATTTAAACCATTTCACAAGGATTTGAGAAGGCTTCTTTTGTACAGGAGGTCATATATTGCATATTGGTTTGAGTAATCAGAATAAAAGATGAAATATTCCAAATCAATAAATATACGCTTATTCCACAATATTTTGAATAAAAGATTGGTGCAAAAATATCGACCTACTCTACATCTGTCAACAAGGAGTTATTCTGGGAATTCCATGTTAAAAGTTGTACTGTATTTAGTATATCTACATTCAAGAAGGCCTAGTACAGTCTTTTGACCAAAATTAACAAAATAAAAAATACTTAAACATAATTAAAAATAATGTTAATATTTTATTGTACATATTGCTTTTGTGCCACTGCCACCTCATGTATGAAATGACAGTGGCACAAACCCAGCTTCTTAATCCATATTTTAGTTTTCCTAATACTATATACTTTAATATAACATGTTGTTCAGTCTTAGTCCTGGTGTACATTGTCCACCAATTATTATAAGGACTAAAGTAGTAAAGTCCATAGGTGTGTAAAACTGGGAGCATGCAGTACCAATTATACAACCAGTCAATATGTCTTGGAAAGTGATCTGCATATTTTCCATGTTGTTCCAGCTTAGAAACCGAACATTGAGGGGGGTATGTCAGCTTGGATGGTATTTTTGAGTCTCTCAAGCTGTTTATTGTCTGCTTGCCAATTGTCCCCAAACTCCAAACAAAAATTAGGGATGTAGCTTGGTACGACGTCTCGTCTTTGGACACCAATGACAATAGGAATAAACCGTGGTAACTCTCCTGAATCGACCAAAGTTCGAAATATAGTCTCTTGGGTATATATGGCAAAGTTATCCTTTTTAAAATCCTTGTCATAAATTGTGAGGATGTATTTACTATTTTGAAGTGCAGCAAAATGCTGATCCAATGAGTTGATCTCTTTAGCATCTCTACTTCGCAAGTACCCTTTCAACTCTTGCTGTTCTAATAAGTCTAGAAGTTGTTTGGAAATTTCCACAGAATCTTTTGAATTTTCATTACAAATCAATGCAAAGTCAGACCTGAATAGCTTTACGAAATCTGAAAATATAGATGAAAGAATACTTTTAGGATTTGTAGGACACACTGATAAATATGAAACTAAATGACAGTATGCAGCTGTAGTGCTCCCTAAGGATTTTTTGTTGGGAGGATTTTGATATTTTTTAGTGCAACATTTTGGATTTCGTAATTTTGTGCAACATGAAGGTTTTTGTAATTTTCTTATTTTTTATTTTAATACATTTCAGAAGGCACACTGAATTCTAGAGCATTTTAGTGTTGCATAGAGGTTCTGCACCTCAAAGATTTTGAAGCATTCATGTATTATCTCTACAGTTTACACATAGTTTACCTGATGTCTGTGTCATCTTTCATGTCCTGATGATCATCTTCTAGTTGTGTCGAAAGAAACGTAACCCTAGACGATTGAGACAGATGGCTGCGATAGCAACTGGTAAGGTGGAAGGTAATAGTAGTAAGTAATAACACCAAGATTGTGTTTCAAAACACTCTTCAGCAAATGATTTCTGAAAATACACAAATTTTAAGCTTAATTAATATAGATTAATGCAATATTTGTACAAACAGCTTGTAAAATTTGTACTGCACTGTATAATGTGGGTCTTGTTATACAGTTCCATAAGTCTCACATTCAAACAGATATCTGCCTTAGGTAGATCTAGATATGAGCGTGGTCTATTTAGAAACTCCATATCTTGTCCTGTACCTCAAGGGGCAAATGCCCTATCGAAATCAATTTTTTTATAAGTCGATTATCTACATGTACAATCTATTGAATGCCCATGATGTATGGCATTTGCACTAGATCTAGATCTCCCTGTCCAGCAATTTCTCAATAAGTCATACTATATAAACATTTCCAGGATAGACTACACTAGTGTCTAGTCTAGGCCTAAAACTTAAGTATACTGTATACGCCTAAGCCCATTTCCATTCTGATATTCATCACATCTTTTCTTAGGCTTTAGAATAGGCTATATCTAGAAACGAGTTCTTGAACTGAAGAACAATTGACGAAGCTCTAACATTTATTCATTATTTTAGGCTGCTCCCGGATCCCATTAATTTATCCGAGTACTGTCATTAGCTAAAATCTACTTCTGTTCTTAGAAAGGCTAGACTTTTAGTAATTTCACTCATTGCCAGGATTCCATTTCCTAGGCGGGAAAGTTCAAGACGTTCCATAGAGAAGTGTCAAAGGTCAATTCTATTACTTACGTGTCTCTCCGTGGATGCACTACTGCGTATTAAAAAATTGGAAAGGAGAACAAAAACTATATTTACACTCATTGTTTCATATCTCGTTTCATGAGAAACTGAGAGTGAAACCGAGCAAGAAACTGAAACCAAGATGGCGTCCAGATCGAAACTGAAACCACTTCCTGGTTTCACAATTCTGTTTTGGGCATTATTTACAAGCTCGAACATATGATAAATATGAGATGTTTATGGTTATCACCACTCAATCTGATTTGTTAATAATAAGCCCTAAATTAGGCCCAATAAAAATAACCCCTTATTCACTCCGTTCATAAAATTCAAGATGTCTGCGCCCACAGTGGGCACTATCAATTTTTCATCAATTTTCATCTTATGATCTTATGTTATTCCATTATATTATATAGATGCTGCTGACCGTGTCTGCGCCCATGATCCTGTAAATTTTATTATAAAATCCTTTGCCCTGTGACTTAGAGATTGAATCAATCGACTACTTGGCTGGGCTCAGTTGGTTTCAGGTGAGTGAATAAATTATGTTATTTCCAGAATCCATAGAGAGCCTTAAAGGAATTCTAGGCGACAGAAATGACAAAATATTGTTTCGGGGACGAGATCAAAAGACTTTGACTATTCTATACCCAACATATTTTGTAATTTAACAATCAGCACACATATACATACCATATAAGCAGATATCTCATAAAAAAAATTTTTGATCGATAAAATCACTGATTATTAAACGAGAAGTGTCTTCTCTGAGGTCTGCGAAGATGACGAAGAAAACATATGAAGATTTCAGTAATTTCATCTTTGCCGTCGATTTGATTTATATGGTTTAAATGATCTTCTAGTTCTAATGCTTTCTATGACTTCTATTAGTACTGTTTTGACTTCCCCACTTCATAAAAAAACATTATCACTTTTTGCTCGACTCATAAATTTACTTCCGGTCTACCGAGAGAAATAAAAGTTCTATTAGTACTGTTTTGACTTCCCCACTTCATAAAAAAAAATTATCACTTTTTGCTCGACTCATAAATTTACTTCCGGTCTACCGAGAGAAATAAAAGTTCTTAGAACCTTTTCAATCCTCAGTCTAAATTTGGCTTTTTAAAGGTTCAAACATCGATTTTGAACAGACCGTTCATGCATATATCGAAAATATATGTCTCTGGTTCACCAGAAAAGGTGTAAGACCAGGCAATCACGTATATAGCCAGAAAAATGTTATTTTTACCATTTTATCCACTATAAATTTTGATGTATAGACATTTATTGATGGATTTGAGGCTAGGATAAAAATGTTGTTGTTGTGCAAGCCGCTGTTTCCTCGACAGTTCACCTCTTGTACTGTAAATTTTCTTTGTGCTCTCTCATATGCTTAGATTCTCACTTGTGAGGAAAATATTATGCAAAAATATCTCGTCACGTGAAAAATTCTAAAAAAACAGCATTGAAATCTAATGGGCAATAGATTTGGAAGTGTATTCTGTGATGTCCCTGGGCTGATGTCCCTGCATTCTCGATATACTGCTTCAAGATGTGCTGTATCTAGAAGAAACAAGATCCTTTTTCATCCTCAGGTCTTCATCATACTTTTTGCCATCTTAAAATTGGATTCCCTATATTCTCGTGACTATGCCAAAGCCAATACAAGTGATTAATTTCATTAAACATTGATGCTTGAGCGATGTAGCAAGCCCAAGAATTCTAGAAAAAATTGTGTTCATAATTTCCGGACCTCAGAGAACAAACTTCTGGCTTGTTATTCAAATAAAAAAGTGCACCGTAGGGAATCAAACCCACGCCGCAGAAGTGGAAAGTGAGCACCCTAACCACTATACCAGAGTGTTTTTCCATGATTGGTTTAATTTTTTTGCAAATCTATAGTGATATACATGTGTGAAATTTTTAAGTGGCATTCTGGGTTGAAAAACTTTCGAGAGTGTTGTTTTATTGTTTAAACTTCAATAAAAAACAATATAAACACGGATTATAAACACAAAGGCTCTCTAGCCAAAACACTATGTTCACAGCTATGTTAAGGCTCTTTAGCATTTTGGCTAAAGAGCCTTAAATTTTAAGGTACTTCAGACACTTCGATATTATATTCGGTCTGTTGGATACATACTAGTGTATCAACCACATGTCTTCTTATCAATTTGTTTCATGACCATTGGCACCACAGGTTACCTAGTGAAACTCAGCCAAATTAAACGACAGTGAAGGTACATGTAGCAACACTCAGCAATATTAACGCAGTTTGCTGAAATTTAGATTGTCCATTTTGCCAGTCACAAGTCTGATCATCTCGTTACTGTATGATCATGTGACTGTCAAAAGTTTATTAGAAAATGTTTTGCTACTGAATGCTACTGTATAAAAAAGAGGACATTCCAAGATAGCAATCTCAAACATTATAGGAATGGTGGCTGAAGCCACTGGCTACTCACAAACGACTTTCTTCAATACATGTATATTACGAGTAGTCTTATTGATCTATAAAGACCTGAAATTATGCATTGAAATAGGACAGACCATTAAATTAAAACGCTAAACAAAAAGTGGTGAAAAACAACGAACTATAGTTATAGAAGATGGCAACATTCTTTTTGCAATTCCAGAAATCTACAAAATGGAAATCATTTTCAATAACCTCAGAATACTACCTTCACCGTAGCATTTGAATTAGTTCAACTAGCTAACCTAGGATGCCAGAGGTCTTGGAATGAATGTTTTTTGTGCGAAGCGGGCTGCACGAAAAGCGTACTGTGCAACCCTGGGGGGGGGGGGGGGGGGGTTGGTCTGGGGGCATGCCCCAAAGAAATTTCTTAAAATAGACCCTCTGGTTCATTCTGAGCATATCTCAGCTAAACATTCCCAATAATAGAAACAAGAAAAATTGTGTTTTTAGAACTTTACTTTACTTTGAGTAAGAAAGTTTGACTTTTACTAAAATATACATTTTGCACTAAAACTTCCAAGTATTTATATATTCTATGGGTTATTTCAAACTTCAAAGTCGTGTTATATTGTTTTGGATTTCACCCCAAACTAGCTTTGAGTTGCAGATAGCCTATTATACAGGGCCTAAGAAAGAACATGATAAAATTTATGTTAGTCTCAGACGAGACTTAGAAGGAAAAAATGTGTTGAATGTGAAACATGTTGATGTATTTTTTTTATTTCTTTAGATGATGATGCAGTTAGACACAGGCATATAAACATAATGACCAAGATGACCTGCTAATGGAAATAAGGATATTGATGTGATGCTTTCAATCAGATGTCGTCTGGATCACCTTCACAGATGCATTATGGGAGTTTGGAGAAGTCTTTTTGATCGTGTTGTATGGTGGGCTAGCTATAGCTGTGTATTCTGGAAAATATAAAGTTATGTGTCCCTATCACAGATGGCGTTCATGGTTAGCTTTGGCTTAAACATCGGTTAACAGAATACAGTACATGTGAAATCTAAATTTGCCTATCACTTGGGATGAACTGTGAACGAGGGAGGTGGTTTTGCCTTATATCAAAATGGTTGGAATGAAGACAGAGATTTTTTCTTTTCACGATTAAATATTTGGCATGTAAATAGTTTGTGTCGTTCCAGTTTTAAAATATGCTTACAACTTAGAAATCAATCCAGTCATTGCTGGGATATTTACAAATCAATTGTCTCGCTTAGGAAACGAGGCACATTTTTCAATGATAAAAGAAAATGTTTAACTTGCGAAAAACATTCCTCATATCCTTAATGAGGGAATTGATTTGCAAATGTCAAAGCAATGACTGTATTAATTTCTAAATTATATTCTGAATCTGAAACTCTTGCCAAATATTTACTTGTAATTTGAAGAACAAAAGCATCTCCATAACCTATATATGGGAATAAGAAAGTTAATGTAAATCAATATGCAGTTTCATTGCAAAAGTCATATATTATGTATTCACAATCTCATAACGGTAACAAGATTACTACATAAATAAGACACTAAAAGCTTTGTTTTCCCAGAAATATAAAACCTGAGTGTCTTATTATTTGAATTTAAGTTGAAAGAAAGAGCTATAATTTCTGGTCTGATCTTCACCTTCAACTACAGTCATTTACATGTATTTCACTTTTTTCTCCAGGTACATGTTTTTTGTAAGGGATGCGAAAAAGATGTCTGAGAAAAGATTGAAAATACTTTACAAGAGTAAGAACTATGTCATTGTTGACAAACATTATGATGTCATGGTGAACAGTAATGACCCTAGTGTTGTAACCATAGCAACACAATTACGGGACATTTATCCAGATTTGGCCAACCCCTCACTAGGGCATCTATTCAGGTACATATTTATAAAGTATACTTACAGGTCTTTCAATAAATGAAGTTTTTCCTTGCTCTAAAACTTTTATTTTGCAATATCTAAAGCCCAAGTTTGCACTGGAGTAGCAGGATACATTCCAGCTTTACTTATTGAACAACCTGTCTAAATGTGTCATATATGATTTTATGCATTTTGTCTTGCTGGTATGTTTTGAATTTTAGAAAATTGATAGTTGAAAAATCAAAATCCTTCCTTTTAATACTTACCGTATATACACATGCACTTGTCATACGCTTTACTTATCTTTTGTCAAGCTTGTAAATGAAAACTTGTATTTTTTCATAGGTTTGCTCATCGCCTTGACTATTCCACTAGCGGTTGTCTGTGTGTCTGTTTCAACAAAGAAGCAGCGGCTGAGGCCGCAAAAGCATTCGGAAACAACAGAGTAACAAAACATTATTTGGCTTTGGTGAGTATAATGACTGGTTGAAAGTGTCAAATTGAAAGTTGTTATACACTAGTGGTAGTGGCACTCTGATATGCACACCTATGTTAGCATGTAAATAACATGTACATACGTCGTATGTAGTATATAGGACAGTTTTCATTGCATTCACTCTACTCAATACAGCGCTACTCATCTTTGCATGATGCCTGGGCATCATGACATTTGTTTTCTTAGAACATAAAGATGACCCATTCATTATTATAGGGAAGTCTTGTTATCATTAATTACTTAACTCCTGATTATCTGAAACTGAGATTGTTATATATGAAACCTAAACTTAGGTTTTAGGACTGTTGACCTTGTATTTGATAACCATTATTTTGAAGTGGTCTGTAATGTGATATATAGTCTACTTAAATAATTGTTTGAAGTTTCAGGTTATCTGACACAACATTAAATAATGATTCTAAAACTAAAAGAGGTTTTGTCACAGTTTTATATTCAAAAATTTGAGAAAATGTTCGAAAAATATTTCATGAAATCAAAGTGGTGCATTAGCAAAGCAGCAAAGGAAGTTTGGGTATCTTTTTTAAAAAATAATTCATGCTTTTTCCTCAAAGTTTCTTGCCATGCCGATTTTATTAAAATGTCAAAAAGTTCTGAATTTATTTCATGATCATTCTTCAGTTCTTTGATTTTTTAGCTTATTTAGAAAAAGGGCAGAAAAAGGGCTGTCCCTGAGACAATTTTAATGAGTTACTATCTCAAAATTTTTTCAGATATTACAGACAAAATTCCAAGCAACATGTACAATTGACCTACTGATATAGTCTTACCCATCCCAAATACTTCTTTTCCCCAAAATTCATGTTATTTTATCAAATGGTGAAGTTATTTATTAAATGTACTGTAAAATGTGTAAATTATCCCAAAATAGAAATCTATCCACATTTATAGTAAAATAAACTCACTAATGAAACAATCTTTATTTTCTTGGAATTAAGTATGACAAGAAATGAGAAGAGCCACAAACTTTGCCTGTTTAGTCTAGCTACAAGCCCTTGTGACCTTCCCCCCACTACACTTTGTGAGAAGGTATGTAGTCAAGTAGAGGGGGGGGGGGTCACAGAGATTTGCAGCTAGATTATTGCTTGCTAGACCTGATTCTAATTATATTTTGGAACACTGACTTTCATGTAAAGATTGCTCACACCATTAAGCATATCATACTTTCCTGAACTGCCACTTTAGTTAGGCTAATCAACTAAAGTTAAATGTTTTTAGGTAAGAGGTCATGTTACACCTGGTGAAGGTAACTCAAGGACTATCGACATATGTATAGGTAAAGATACACTTTCTGACAACCCCTATAAACAATGTGAAGCCTCCAAACCTGGCTGTGTTGATGTCAAAAAGTCCTTGACAGAGCTGCATGTCTTAGAACATGGTACCTATGAAGGCCTACCTGCATCTAAACTGTTATTGAGACCTCAAACAGGTTTGTTGTTTAGATTTATTCTACACACATGCATACAGTTCATGCATAATGTTGACATTGTAAAGGGCCTTAATTATCCTCTCCATCTTCGTTCAATTGGCTCCTGTCAGTCTAAACGCAATGAAGACCGAGCTTGCAAAGATGAAACCTCTCTGGCTTTGATAAGAAAACTCTTTTACTTTTGATAAAAACCACCAAAACATAATCACCTCATTTGTCATTAGTAATTGTTGTTTAATGTTGTAAGGCCAATAATATGATACTTAGCATAAATAATAAAACAGCCCTTCAGCTCTATCATTTAGTTCAGATATCAGTTAAGTGCCATAAATGAAATCAAAATCTTGTATTGCTATAAGTAAGGACAGTAAAACTGTGTAAATGTGTTCACAATGGCCATATTCAAAAAGTGTGACAGGATAAATGTGTTCACAGTTGTCATATTTGAAAACTGTGACAGGATAAATGTGTTCACAATGGCCATATACAAAAGTGTGACAGGGTAAATGTGTTCACAATGGCCATATTCAAAAAGTGTGACAGGATAAATGTGTTCACAGTTGTCATATTTGAAAACTGTAACAGGATAAATGTGTTCACAATGGCCATATACAAAAGTGTGACAGGATAAATGTGTTCACAATGGCCATATACAAAAGTGTGACAGGGTAAATGTGTTCACAATGGCCATATTCAAAAAGTGTGACAGGATAAATGTGTTCACAATAAATATTTGTTGATGCCATTATGAGAATTTTTATTTTCCCAGATCTTACAGATCAGGTTCAGATGTTTCAGTCTAGTGCCATAAAAAATCAGAACATTGTATTTGAAATTTATTTCAGGTCGCATGCACCAACTTAGAGTCCACTGTGATTACATTGGGCACAGAATTATCGGAGACTTCACTTACAGTAATAGGGAGGATGTGTCACCATTTCGGATGATGCTCCATGCCTACAGTCTCACTATATACACAGTCAAGTCTACAGATGGTGCTATACATACAACTGCTGAAGACCCCTTCACATCAACATGTGACCCAAAATGGACCCCTGTCGATATTATCGCTAAATATAATGACATTATAAAATCCCTGGGGAAAGATAAAGCTTTATTAAACTATGAGGATTATTTAGAGACTAGGGAAAAACAAAGGATTGCTAGGGAAAAGCATTATGAGAAAAAGAAGGCAAAGTTAGAACAAGTTGCCAGACAATCTGTGTCACTGAAAAACATTTCACGTGATGATGATAATAAACTGAACTCTTGTGAGCTATCACATGGGTCTCATGATCGGACAGTACTAGAAAATCCAAAGTCAAAAAGGTCAGGTTCATTAAGTTGACACATACTGCTTTGTATTGAAAAATTGTGGTATGATACGACTATGTGATTGAATCAATAGGCAATTTAAACTATATGGGAGCCTGTATGGGAGTTACCCAATTTTTTCAACCGGCCGTATTATGATGAATTCTATCTTCCAAAAGTAACAGTGCAATGGTCCAATTGGATACCCAGAATTGTCCCAGAGACTGAACTAACTAGTCAGGGGGCCATAGTAAAGTTTGTGTGAGAATTTGTGTGAGATTTGTGTGACTAAATAAAATTGTTTTATCAAATTCCCTAATATGGAAGTTGCCAATTAAGTGAATGAATTTCCTCACCCTCGGACCAAGAATAGCTGGTCAAATATCAGAATTTTGTGTGTCAAATTCCTCACCCTCCCTACGTGGACATTCTGTTTTTTCATTATTGGAAAATTAAAGACAAAGGGGGTGTGGTTATTACTGTGTGTCGGGGCATGGGGGGGTTGATGGGTCCCCTGGCCGAAAAAATCTCAAAATCATGCAGTCTTTAACAATTCTGAGCACTTTTTAAGTGATTTTGGACCAAAATTTTCACAAGTGAACCCCCCTGGAATTTTTCAAAAAGGGACTTCCCCTTGGCTAATCCTGGCTACGTGCCTGGGGCGGTCCCATGCAAACCTTTGAATGGTGCATCAATATGAAGTACAATATTATGTAAGTGCGGTCATATGGTCTCTTTGATCAAAGATTTACTTAGGTCCATGGCTTGATGAAATATGATACACCCGTAATTCATTTGAAATTGGCAAGATGAAGATGAGGTTCCAAAAAAGTTTTTTATTTATTTATTACATTTTATAAAACTACAAATAGAATATGTGAGGTAAAGAATTATCCCATAAAATACATAACTTATTCAATACCACACAACCATTAATATCAAAACATTATAAAACTGTATTCCCTAATAATAAAACATCAATACTAGAATAGTAATATAATAGCTAAACTGCATGCAACATGAGGAGATTCATTGTACAGTAATTGTAAATTGTATTGCAAATTGCAATGATAATTATACATGTAATTGGAAAACTGTAACCCTAGATAATTTTGCAGCTAATCTATTTTGTTTTTGTTGTTTAATAACGAATTGATAGTGGAATTCAAGGTTATACTAAAATCAAACTCCCTTGGGCATGATGGAAACAAGTTAACTTAATCTATGTGAAATTAACCTACAGTAAGTAGCTCAAAGGGAGACAGTTACAAAAAGAATAGAAAATTGATTTGCTGCAAAATCAAAATGGGTTGCACAACTAATGCATACAAATATATGTACTGTAACAGTGTAAAAGCCCAAATTTTTAATGTGGCCTAATTTTCTCTATTTTCGCTGAAAAAGCTAGACTGTGAAATTAAAGGTATAGTGAAATTTGATTTAGCATTCAATTCATTTGGATTTTTCAGTGACATTTGATGCCCATGAAACTTGACAAAATAGTTAAATTGTCAGCGAAAATTTGGACTTTTAGAGTATATCTGTTCTTATACAGGTATAACTAAATAGAGCTAATCGAATGATATTTGTCAGTCTAAATGGTCATTATCAATATCACAATGTACAAAAAAATACATCCTAGCTCAATGGAAGATCTCATATGTTATATAGTATAAAACAATGTTCCTTCATACAAGTATTTACGAATATAAATATTTATAACAATGTAAGTTGTTTTGAAATGAAATATAGTCCAGAACTGATTAATATCATGTAAATATATATTAACCTTCAAACCCTGAAGTTAAAAAGTTAAAAGCACCAGTTATTGCAAAAATAATATATATTAGGTAAAACCTGTACAAGTGGAACACTGCCGTTCCAAAGAAGTGATCTGATTTCATTATTTGGCATACAGCATATCATTAACATTATCTTGTATGAGCCAACATCTGTTTGACCTACAGATGTGTTTGGGTTACAGCTGTGTACAGCTTCAAAGGTTTTATTTTACAACAATTTTTTCTAAAGTGATATTGGAGAAGTTGATTAACACATGCTTCACTGTAGAGGTTTTACTGTATATTAGGCCAAGGACAATAATGGTTTCTGGTCACCATGGATATCACATAACTCACAACAAAAAAGGAGTTCATGCAAACGCCATTACTGCCCAAAATTTGGGAAATATTGTATTGACTATTTAAATGTAAATAATGTGTCTTTTCTAAAAGATAAAAACGATGGCACAGTCTAAAACTAAAAATTGACTGGCCTTAATATCACTTTTAATTTTGTTTAATACATGTAGACTCAGCCTGCAGTATGTTACGACATGCACCTATGCAAGTCAATATGTAACATATGTTTGTAATGTCCAACATTAACTGCATTGTTAATTGTACAATGTGACCTAAAATAAATTTTTTAATTAATTTACTTTTTGAATTTTCTGAGTGTTCAATTTAGCAAATAGTGGTTTACTAAAATAATTGCATCTACAACATCGAAGTACTCCAATTTACCCAAGTTCTCATGCAATTCAGATGACCAATGGATTGGTGAAGTTTTTCGACTGAATCATACATATTAGAGACTTCAATAGCTATGTTAAGTTCAAAAATTCAATTTTTTATGTGCTATGTATAAGTTGCATTCCTTTTATGATGTCAGACATTTTGTGTGTATGTGTATTTTTTAATCATCCCTGCTAAGTCAGCACTATCTTTGATATCACACATTTTCCACCAGCTGTCTCTAGTATTGTTTGATGTCATCTAGCAAATGTTCTATTTAGACACTGACGCCAGATTGTCTCATCTGGACAGCAGAAAGGATCCCTGCAATGAGGGTGAAGATCCCACCTACGACGCACAAAACAAACGACCAGGAGACGTTTGATTTCACATTTGCTCCAAACACCACAAAGCCTATAGCCATAAATGCCACTGGAATAAAACAGGCGAAAGTTTTTATTATGCAAATGTAATGTAAATCAAGAGCTGTAATATTGTGATCTATGGTATACAATGTTTCTTCAGATAAGTTGCTTTGATAGAATCGAATTCAATTATAGAGTTGCCATAGTAACACACCATACAGTTCATGTGTAGATACATGATTGGTCAGAGACAGCAGACAGGATTATTTAGTTTTTACTGAAAGACATGCAGTGTTGATATACTGTTACTATGGTTACTCACCTGTGATGAAACACTTATCAAGGCCAGGAATATTAAGATTTTGATGAGAGAATGGACATATTTAGATCTTCTGTTCCTATGGTAACTCACCTGTGATGAAACGAATTACTGATAGAGCCAAGAGTGATTGGATCTTTATGAGAGAATGGACTTGTGTAGATATAGCGTTACTATGGTAACCTGTGATGAAACAAATTATGGCCAGGAGTGTTTGGTTCTTCCTGAGTGAATGGACACTGGTAGCTATATGGTTACTATGGTAACTTACCTGTGATGAAAAGCACTATTCCAGGGGTGTTTGGTTCTTGTTGAGAGAATGGACACGTGTAGATATATGGTTACTATAGTTATCCACCTGTGAGAAAAACAACTATGGTCAGAGCCAGGAGTTGCGTGTAGATACACTGTAACTATACTTACTCACCTGTGATGAAACAGACTATGATTAGAGCCAATATTGTTTGGTTCTTGCTAACAGAATGGACAAATGTAGATATACCGTTACTATAGTAACTCACCTGTGATAAAACAGACTATGGTCATAGCCAATATTGTTTGGTTCTTGGTATCAGAATGGTTACGTGTTGATACATGGTTACTATAGTAACTCACCTGTGATGAAACAGACTATGGTCTGATCCAGTAGTGTTTAGTTCTTGCAAATAGAATGGCCACGTGTAGATATACCGTTACTAAGGTAACTCACCTGTGATGAAACAGACTATGGTCAGAGCCAGTAGTGTTTGGTTCTTGCTAACAGAATGGACACACATGTAGATGAAGATACAGATGAGACTAATGATAAGACCTAGGAGACCAATGCAGATCATTGCCTGTGTAGCACGAAACCATCCTGCAACGGAAATAAATACAATAACTATAGTAATTTTGTTTTAGCACCTTATTTTGAATGATGAACTTATTCCTTACGCATTGCGCCTGGAAGCTCTCACTTTGAATCCAAATATCTCTATGAAGTATTTTAATTCTCGCTGATGATTCTCACAGTCTGGTATCGAAAGATTTGTCCGCTGTGACGGAGCATGCTATTTTTCACAAAAACACTAAGATTACTTGACAATTTATTTTTTATCTCATATGTTTCGTCATATCAAAGAAAATTACTTACTCCATGCAATGGATATATCATTTGCGGGTAACCTTCACTTCTTTTACATTTTTTTATCCGCTGTGACGGAGCAGTTTCACAGTTCACTTTTCAACTGCTCTGTCACAGCGGACAAAAAATGTAAACATTATTTTTTATAAAAAATTAATTAGACCCAATGCATCAATATCTCATTTAAAATACCTTCAGAGTTGTGGTGAAAACATGTAAATATTATCGTGTCACTATATCGTGCAAATAAAAAGTTAAAAAAGAAATGTACATTTTGAAGTAAGATACCCCAGCGCCATTTTCAAAAGCTTTTCCTCTTAGCGTTATGGGGCTTCAAACAGAAGTGAAAGTTATCTGCAAATGATATATCCATTGCATGGAGTAATTAATTTTCTTTGGTATAATGAAACATGAGTTAAAACAAATTTTGTGGTTTTCTTAGTGTTTTTTATGAAAAATAACATGCTCCGTCACAGCGGACAATCTTTCGATACCAGCCTTTGATTCTATCAGCGCGATTCTTCTTTTTATCTTACCAACTCATTAGTTTCAATGGATAACATTCTGAAGTCTCAAAATCATCATATTCATGATAATCTAGTTTATGCTTGAAAATTTCAGGCGTGAATGCTGAAGCATGTCTTATCGTGTACGTGTGTAAGTTTAGTTTCCAATGTGCAGGAATCTTTGGCTGTCGATTTACTAGATTTCAAAATTTGGCATACTTTTTTTAGGAAGTTGGTGTTTTGGAAAAACAAAACGCTTGACCCATTGTCATTGATTTTTAGATCCGCCCCTGATACACTACTTCCTACTTCTGTTCATGATCTCATAGATGTAACCTTATTCCAGGAATATTTATTTATCAGTAAAGGCGTGAAGTACATAACATAAATAATTTACTTGTAACAGATGCTACAAACAAACCGCATAACACTGGCTCATATTTGCTATCTGTCTGTTACTTTTATTCTTGGTATAATTTATCACTCTAGTTTGATTTTAATTGAAACTCTACTGTCTTCATTCGTTCAGGGGTGGTAGGGAAGGATCCATAGGGGGGTGAGTCTGTTAGTAATGAGGCAGTGCTGATAAGTATTAATAGCACAGACACGAGAACAACAGTTCAAAAAAGATTATATAGTGACTGGGGGAGATTTAAATCTTCTTCCTGGGCCTGCGATTAAGAGTCAGTCTAATTAGTCTTGCCTCAAACCCTGGAGCCTGGACCCCCTATCTGCTTTAACAACAGGTTGTAATGTGGACGATAGGGGGGGGGGGGCAGGGTCTTGAAGCAAGACTAGAGTCTAATCGTACATTGGAACATCCTTAGAAATGTTTACCTCCCTATTTTTAGACTTGTTAATGTAATGAATCCTCATCAACGAATCATGAAGGCATGTAGCTTATCACAGAGAACATTATACCTGCCAGCAGGTAGTATAGGGCCAATACAGGTAGGCTTTAGTATAACATGGTAATGTAAATGAATTGTGCCCTGGTGGTTGTTGTCTCATTCAATTTTGTTTGTGATTTTTTTTATGAAAAGTGTTCATAGGTTAATCTTTCAACTATGACTGTTTAGTTTTAGGAGGTGTTCACATTTCAAGGTTTCTTTAACGCAGGAGTCAACAATTGGAGGTGAAAAGGAAGCGAAAAGTAGATTAGCCAGGTGTTCTGGTATACATGTTTTACGGTACGTAAAAAGAACTGGAAAATAGGCTAATACGGCTAATCAATTCGTTTGGAACCCATAGATTTACTTGCTAAATAGGGTTCATCCTCCTAAGCAGGTGTCTAGTATTCTGGATTCTGAAGCCCTGTGATCGGAGGATGAATAGGTTTTAGATTCGTTTAGAGCGCATTTTCGATCTTCATGTTGCCTCTCTTCTGATCGAAGACGGGTTGGTCGGAGACATTAGTGTAAGACTTAAATTATGAATTCCTTACTAGGTTGTTCTCAATCCAAATTTTCCATTCTGATACTCATCACATCTTTTTGCCTTCAACTAGAAATATGCTTCCAGAAAGAAGCTTATAGCTGGCCATGATTTCTTGTGATGAAGTTAATCAACAATTTTCTTAACTTTTTAGAATAGACTGTGAAGAAGAGCCAAGAAGGGGTAGTTTACACTACATTCATGTTACAAACAATAAATAAATGATTTGGAGATTTAGGTTAAGCTCGTTTTATTACGTCTGGTTTATGTCAAAACTACGTTTTGACACACATACCACTGTATCTTGTACTTCTGCAATCGGCTCCGAAATCATACGTTAGAAAACACTACGAGGATTCAAGTAGGGTAAGTGCTGCCAGTCAGAGACAAATAGGCAAGGAATTGAAGACAATGTAACTTGCAAAGAGGCAATATAGGCTACCTCCCCGGCTTTTGTTGAAGATTGGTGTATATAAAAGGTAGTTGACGTGTATTCGGATCAATGGGGCGACCCTAATAGTATAATAAAAAAGAAGTCCAATAGGCATAGGAGGCGCGAGTATCACGATGTACATAAAAATATACGTATTTATAAACAGAAACTAAACGTCAGTGAAGGTAAATGATCTATTGTTGATGTGTAAAGATCGTGACACGTAAAAGTAGTTTAAATGATATGTCACCTGATAACTATCTGCCTAAAGGGTTGCATACATGCACTTTCCCAAAGTGAAAATTGTTTTGTGATTCATAGTCATCATGTTGTACATAAAAAGCATTACGTGTATCTACAATAAGCACATTTTGTTTCTCGGTTGTAAGTGGTGTGCTGTCTGATCTTTGCTTGTGTGTTATGTCGTGTGTTATTGAGTACCAGTGCTGTATGTTATTGAGTACCAGTGATTTGTGTTATTGAGTTTTAGCGCTGTATGTTATAGAGTACCAGTTATTTGTGTTATTGAGTTTAAGTGATGTGTGTTATTGAGTACCAATGCTGTGTGCTATTGAGTACCAGTGACTTGTGTTATTGAGCACTACTGATGTGTGTTATTGCGTACCAGTGCTGTATGTTATTGAGTACCAGTGATTTGTGTTATTGAGTTTTAGCGCTGTATGTTATAGAGTACCAGTTATTTGTGTTATTGAGTTTAAGTGATGTGTGTTATTGAGTACCAATGCTGTGTGCTATTGAGTACCAGTGACTTGTGTTATTGAGTACCAGTGATGCGTGTTATTGAGTACCAGTGCTGTATGTTATTGAGTACCAGTGTTGTATGTTATTAAGCACCGGTGATTTGTGTTATGTTTCAGTGATGTGTGTTATTGAGTACCAGTGCTGTGTGTTATTGAGTAACAGTGATTTGTGTTATTGAGTACCAGTGATTTGTGTTATTGAGTACCAGTGCTGTATGTTATTTTTTTCCTGTGCTGTATGTTATTGAGTACCAGTGATTTGTGGTATTGAGTACCAGTGCTGTGTGCTATTGAGTACCAGTGACTTGTGTTATTGAGTACCAGTGATGCGTGTTATTGAGTACCAGTGCTGTATGTTATTGAGTACCAGTGTTGTATGTTATTAAGCACCGGTGATTTGTGTTATGTTTCAGTGATGTGTGTTATTGAGTACCAGTGCTGTGTGTTATTGAGTAACAGTGATTTGTGTTATTGAGTACCAGTGATTTGTGTTATTGAGTACCAGTGCTGTATGTTATTGAGTACCTGTGCTGTATGTTATTGAGTACCAGTGATTTGTGGTATTGAGTACTAGTGGTGTGTATTATCGAGCACCACACCAGGACTGTGTGTTATTGTGTACTAGAGCACGGGGCGGATCTGAAAATCAAGAGGGGCCAAAAATGGGCCCTAATTTTGGACCAAAATCTGAAAATGGGGGCCCAATTTCTTAATAGCCCCCCCCAAAAAAAGTAATGCCCAGTAATGCTAGTTTTTTTTGTAAATTGCAATGATATTTTGCAAATTATTGACATTAAGACTTCAAGTACTTATATTTCACGACCTAGAATAGCATTGATACGTATGTTTTTAGCCTTATGTTTGTTATTGCAATGTGTTGATGTGTAAATATGTTTATAAACATATTATATTTATTCCCAGTCTTCTATTGTTGTCACATGCCCTTTATTAATACTATTACTGACACGCTCTGCGTCTAAACTTACCGTCATCACGTCCGTTCAAATCACATCTACACCTCTCCCAAAGTCCCTCATCGTCATAACGCGTAACAATCCAAGCTGTGGTCGAAAATCCGACCACATATAATACAAGGGCGATGGCAATGCAGAAAAAGATACCCCCGGCCAAGCCACGGAAGCTAATGGCATGGACAGCAGTCCCTGTGCTATGGGACGTCACGGTCGTTGTGCGGCTACTTACAACAGGCATCTCGTTTACTGTTTCCGTGTATCCTTGACTATTTTAATCCAATATTTAGCAATACTACTAATAGCTCAGTTGTATGGCTAGCAGATCCGAGCTTTTTAATGTTCCAATATTACAAAATAATGCTCTTACAGCCTTGAACTGTCTTCCTGATAATCCACAAGATGCTACAAAAGTGCTGTGTATAATCATATATATATATATCCAGTTTCAGTATCAGTGGCTTTCTACTAACACACCAACAAGCAACAAATGAAGAAACACAGAGTGTATGAGAAGCTATCCAGCTAATGCTACACAAGATTGCAGCTTATAAGTAGTATGCTCTGTTTCAGCTCAACTTCTCCTCATAAATTCTCCTAGCAGTGTATAGGCTTTATAGACTATAGAAATCCCTCTGGAAGTTTACTGGGATGATAACTGGGAATAAGCTACACTGCACTAATTACAAACAAACTTTATGTTCATTTCCGATCTACTTGCTAGCTCGTTCAAGAATATTGCAGTGTTTATTAACAAACCGATTTAAAGTGAAAATGTTTTCTATAATTAGCTTCCTCATTTTATCATGATCTTAAGTTCCGTTAATGAATCACTCATTTTTCGGAATCACACCCTATCTTTGATTGGACGTGTGGGTTGGGATGTTTGGGAGTTGATTACATTACGAATACCACAAAAGATGTAGTCTTGCTTCAAGACCCTGGACACCCCTATCTTCTTTTCATCAGTAATGTGTAATGTGTTGGAGAAGTAGATAGGGGGGGGGGAGGGCAAAGTCTTGAAGCAAGACTAAACAGACAGGGTGGGCCAAAAGATGTTACTGATCTTATTCATTATTGGCATGATTGGTCTCAAACTTTCTGAGTTGTCTAAAACCCTTAGCCATCTCAGAAAGTTTGAGACCAATCTTGCCAATAAGGAATGAGCTATTGCACTTTGAAATCAATAACGTGTTTTGGCCCACCCTGTGAATATAGAGCAATATGTGTCCGTCTGTTAGTTTGTACATCAAAGAGCCTACATCGTCATTGTGTCGTCCCCTGAGTATCTTTAATTAAACAGAATGGTTTCCGGTACCACGGGGTACCATCGAATAATTTTGGCAACGTACCGGAGAACGACATTTTACTAAGAAATGGCAATAATTTAGCACAATATATTTTTTAACTAGAGTTCTACTTTGATTTTGACAAAAGTAAGTATTCCATGCAATGGCTATTTCATTCATGAGTTTGTAGGAATTCTGTTGGAACCCAGTTCTGATCAAGTACGAAGTTATTGAAATCGGCGCAGTCGGACTTTACTCCGAAAGATGGTTTTTCGATTATAACTTTTCACAACATTTAAGTATAGACTTTTGAAAAAAGTACAGAATAGTCCTTATACTTTTGAATAATTCTGTTATTTCTGATTCACACGACTCTGATTTGTTTAATTAAAAAAAAAGTTTTAAAAATATTACTTAGGAACGTAACCGGAGCTGGGAACGTAACCGGAGCAGATCAGTTGAATTATATAATTTAAAAAAATAAAATATATGATTTAAAGCATATATATTAATAAATACGCATTCAAACAATCCCGTGTTTTTAAATTAGTATATGTGCTTTAAATCATATATTTTAATTTTTTTTGATTAAATAATTCAACTGATCTGCTCCGGTTACGTTCCCAGCTCCGGTTACGTTCCTAAGTAATATTTTTAAAACTTTTTTTTAATTAAACAAATCAGAGTCGTGTGAATCAGAAATAACAGAATTATTCAAAAGTATAAGGACTATTCTGTACTTTTTTCAAAAGTCTATACTTAAATGTTGTGAAATGTTATAATCGAAAAACCATCTTTCGGAGTAAAGTCCGACTGCTCCGATTTCAATAACTTCGTACTTGATCAGAACTGGGTTCCAACAGAATTCCTACAAACTCATGAATGAAATAGCTATTGTATGGAATACTTACTTTTGTCAAAATCAAAGTAGAACTCTAGTTAAAAAATATATCGTGCTAAATTATTGCCATTTCTTAGTAAAATGTCGTTCTCCGGTACGTTGCCAAAATTATTCGATGGTACCCCGTGGGTACATTAAAGGCATGCCAATTTTTCCTAATTTTCTTTACCGAAAATAGAGTTGGATGTTAAAATACATTGTGAATTTGTAAGCTTTTTAAAATATCACCACGTCTCCATTCCCTGTTCTTCCTTTAAGTCTGTATCATTGGAGAGTACACCCACATTGTCGTTTACTGTTTTACCACAAAATCGATATCAGATGCGACTATCATCTTTAATGGCATGCCAGCCAAAATTCATAAATGTGTCTGTTAAACAGACATACATTAATCTTGTCAACCTACAGTATATACGATAGCATATACACGCCTACTACAAAACACATCCTTTGGTAGAAAACGAATTCATACGTACAACCAAATATGGGAAAGAAATGAATTACAGTCGTCTAAGATAGAGTTTGTGAGTCGGACTTTATAAAAATAGCATTACCACCCTTGGTATACGCAGCTAACGAAAATTGACCGGTATGGGTCAAAAGCTGGACCGGTACGGGTTAACGGTTTTATTTGAATTTAAAATAGCCATAACTTGCTCAATATTGACTTCCTCGTGTCTAATTTGAAATATATGATGCCTCCCGATGCTTTTAAGTACCCCAATTTTTTACAGATTTTTAAACGGACCAAAACTCTCTAAATGCGCATTTATGCTCTTTTCTCTCGAGAACGACTATCTCATTTTCACGATAACTTTTATTTAGTACTTCAAACATATAAGATCTATTTTTCCCCATCAAGGTATGATGTAAATGACATGCTATTTACATCTTGTGAGTTTCAATGACGCGCGTTTGATTTTATAAAAAATGCCAAACTTTGTGACAAAGAATTTCATCAGCTATTGCCCCGAACCGGTCCGTCTTCTCGTTGCAAGCAGATTGCCCCGAACCGGTCCGTCTTCTCGCTGCAAGCAGGATGAAATTCTTTGTCACAAAGTTTGGCATTTTTTATAAAATCAAACGCGCTTCATTGAAACTCACAAGATGTAAATAGCATGTCATTTACATCATACCTTGATGGGGAAAAATAGATCTTATATGTTAGAAGTACTAAATAAAAGTTATCGTGAAAATGAGACAGTCGTTCTCGAGAGAAAAGAGCATAAATGCGCATTTAGAGAGTTTTAGTCCGTTTAAAATCTGTAAAAAATTGGGGTACTTAAAAGCATCGGGGGACATCATATATTTCAAATTAGACACGAGGAAGTCAATATTGAGCAAGTTATGGCTGTTTTAAATTCAAATAAAACCGTTAACCCGTACCGGTCCAGCTTTTGACCCGTACCGGTCAATTTTCGTTAGCTGCGTATACCAAGGGTGATTACTTCGAGTCCGTTTTTCTAGGAGTTTTAAAGTTTCGACATTTATCTATTTATTTTTGGCATTTTAATATTCTACACGTTTCCATATTGATGATACATATTTTGGTGACTACATGATTTGGGACGGTAACGATACATTGGCATATATACGAAAACAAAATTTAACCCGATTTATATACAATTCTATCATTCACAAAAAATATCAAGAATAAAAATAACTGTTTGGCCTATGCATAGGCCTTAGTTTTTTTATGTGTATTCTGATCATTCTGATCTCATGATTGCTGGGAATCTTATTGGTGATCATGAGTCAAGGTATTTACTTTTTAGTTATAAATTACAAAGCATAGTGGCATAAAAAGGTTGCATTTTCGTTTTGTGCATCAGATATTGCTACCCAGGGGATATGAACACTTGAAGTGCATCTCAATCGATATTGACCCCTCGTCAAAATTAAACCGCATAAAACCTGTATACCGATATTTCTATAATCGATAACTGATGAAAACAATAATTTTTATTTATACGAAACCAAAACCAGAATGAACTGAACAGATAGAGCAAGGACTAAATAAATTGTTTTTAAGTGTTGTTTACAACTTTTTTATAACACGCTTTTTTATGTAGTTGAAGGTGACTAATAAATGTTCTTAAAACGACACCTAGCTGCTGTATCATGCTTATGTTATTTTCAAATGAAGTCAACATTTTGACAATTGATATTTTACCCCAACAACACCCATATTTTCAGATAAAATGTCTGGATTCAGAAGTCTCAAATACAAGCATCACATAAATATATTAGGTAAATGGAGGGAGAAAGTTATTTTTCTTTAATTCATGATCAATTGTTCATGATCATCTGTTCATATTTTTCTTCAGTGAAAAACTTGATATTCTTAAATCAGCCTTATTATTTTCAACCATGTCAAAAGCAAGTATGTACAAAAAGTGAATCATCAAATCAATTTGATTCGAAACCAAGAAATACCTGCATTTGTATCTTTTTATGTAACTCTTGCTCTATGAAGTCATTTTTTGGCTATATTTTAGTGAGAGCCCCAGAGCGAATGTATCCTTCACTTTTTATGAAACCAACACCTTTAGAATATACGATTTCAATGTTTTTCTAAGTATTGAAACCAGTTTAAAGACATTTGCATAGGAAACCTCTTTGGAAGCATCCATTAACCGAATAATACATGAATGCCAATGCCGGGTGTGAAAATGGATGTCGTCAAGTCGATTTTTTAATTTGGGAACTTTAGTTGCAGTTTATAACAATGCATACTCACACATGGACAACTCTGGGAATTCTTGCATTTGTCATAATTACGATATCAGCGGAAACATGCTCAAAGTACAACTACCACGTGCCGAGAAACTTAGACGGAAATATCTATGAACAATATTGCTCAGATATTTGCATTCAATCGTATCCAAAATTCGAAAGCGTGTGTAGGGACGATCCTATTATAGGAAATGTTAGGACAAAATGCTCAGGTACAGTGATCAACTAGTTATTTTTGTGAAGATATTTCAAGACACAAAAAGTAGTGCCCTTGTGGCTTGCTCTATTGATCGTGCTGTTAATATTTTGTTTGATATTTATTTCAATATCTGTTAACATTTCTATTTTGACAAGTAAAGGTGATAGAGACTTGTGTAAACATTCATTGATACATGTACATTAAATACACCTGATGTTATTGTAAATGTCATTTGTTATTGCATTGAATAGTTTTTGATCGAATTACATGTATATTAATGTATTTTCTGGTATAGTAATGTAATGTATGGCAAATGCAAATCTTCGTATTGTATTGTATTGTATTTTATTGCATTCTATTGAATTGTATTGTATTGCATTTTATTGTATTGTATTGTATTGTATTGTAATGCATTTTATTGTATTGTACTGTGCATCACTTTATATGTGTTGTGTTGCAAATGAGTATTCATTGCATTATTCCTATTATTTCTAGATTACATCAAGTGCCTCTATCCTAAAAATCCAGACTCTCAGGATGTAAATTACAAAGTCATCGTCCCAATCATTGTGATAGCCACGCTCCTTATTGTTTCCCTCCCTATATTGTACACCATTTACAAAAATAGGACCAGTGCACTTCCGTGCGTATTTGTTGCAGCACAGACGCAATCTCCGCCTCAATCACACAATGGGGCGCAGGCTGAGGAAAAGGAACGAGGTAATGATTGGGCATAATCAATGTGTACTGTTCATTTATAGTTTTTATCATCAGCTTAACATGTAAACTTTGCTCTCAAAATGCTACGTACACATTTTTTCCAATTCATTATAGGAAATGCTCTATTATAAATAACCATGATTCACTTGGTCACATACTTGTATTATGATTTGTAATTTATCACCACCAGAAGTCTTCATTTTTTTGTGGAAGGTTTTCGGTGTTCTGTGGTCCGCGGCGTTCGGCGGTTGGTGTCTGTAACAAATGGAAGGTGGTGACATTTTTACGTTTTGTTCAGAGCTTTAATCCTGAAATAAATAATCGTTATTCAATTCGTAAATTAATACATTGAAATACATTTCAGAATTGCTCCATGTCGCCGGGAGAAACGCTAGTCAGGACGGGGATGACAATCGTAATGTCCACGTTGTATGATGATGAGAGAGACTAACTTCATTCAACATATACTTCATAACAGATTTTTAGCGAAACACAACGGACCAATCCATATTTGATATCTTTACACTTATTGATATTTTTCTATTTTCCAATGGAACGACAGAACACGCTTCTGGGTCTAACCAAGAACACTGCAGGGAAAAAATGTGGGCCGCTTGTGCAGGAAATAGGTTTAAATTTGGAAAGGTGATTGGTTATGTAAAACTGTTTTTAAGTTTGATAACGATAGCAATAAATTCGCCCATCACACTGAAACCAAAATTGAAACAGGTTTCGAAACCGAGGTCTAGTATACCTGTTAAAGTATAAGCAAACAAAGTTCTATGAATAGGTAGTAAACAACAGTGAAATGTTAGTATCAGGTCATCATGACCCACGTACAGCACTTGAACAAAATGGTTGCAAACGGAGATAAGCGGATACAAACATCGGGCACCGTAATCAATTACACTATAAGTGGTCACGATTTAAACAAATATTTTTGTAGCCCTGCCCTTCATGACAAAACGAGGGATTATTGATGAACACTGGAAAATCACATGTGGGACAACATTCAAGATCAGATGTAACATTAAAGCTGTTAATTCTACGTACTTGTAAAACTCCCAATGTTCTTGAAAGCCAGGAGAATATAGAAATATGATTGGAAATTATATAGAAATGGCTGTAGCAGAATAATTGTTTAAGGTGACATTTATCAATAATGCGAGAACATTTTATTTGTATACGAGGCATTAACATACCAAAATGTTACCACCTAGTTGCTCACAATATTATTAGTTCAGTTTTAAGTCAGATTTGAATTTCTGAGAATTTGTAGATGATTTTGAAAAATGGTCTATTTGAAGTAAGTTGAAGAAAGACCCTTTTTGACCTTGAGAATGTCATTGAAGGTAAAATCAATAGTCAGATTTGAACTTTTGAGAACTCGTAGATTTTGAAAAAATAGTCAATTTGAAACAAGTTGAAAAATACAATTTTGACTTTTTTGACCTTGAGAAGCTTATTGAAGGTCAAATCAAAATCTTAAGTCAGACTTGAACCTCTGATAACTTTCACATGATTTTGAGAAAAATGGTCAATTTGAAGCAAGTTGAAAAATGCCTTTTTGACCTTTTTAACCTTTTTGTATTGTATTGTATTGTATTGTATTTTGAAGAAAATTGGAGTCAGTCTAAAACAGTATTTGTTGAGTTAATTATTGGAAGTTGTAAGACTTTGTTACAGACACCAACCGCCAACTTCCAACCGCAAACCGCCGATCGCCAACCACCAACCATCGATCGCCGCTGACGCCATAACAATATGTCACCACTTTTTGGTGTTGATATAAAAACACCTTGTATGAACATATCCACAGTAAATTGAATATATTATAAAACCAGTTGTGACAAATTCATTTTATTTATCCTTTACACAAATCAACCTGAACGCAGTCTTATTTTTAAAAACGCAACGGGACAACTTCAACTTGAAAGTGTTTACTATACTATGGTAACCGTAACTTTTAACTTTTTAAATAACGTTATCAAACGGTTAAAAATGACATATATGTGTTGGGGTATCCCGTCTTTCCCAGGGTTGTCCTGTATTACTCTTGCTACCCGTACCCCATCTGCTCAATAATTCTCAAGAATATACTAAGAATAAAAAGCGATGTAATTTAATTTTTCTTTGTATTTATTAAAATAAATTGTTTTGAATATGGAACACCAGTTTTAAGTCTAGTATGCACTCATATTTGCCTGTCTTGAAAAACAATGGAGAGGTGTCCCGTTTTGCCCCAATCTCCTATTATATATCAGCCTGTGTGACATATCAGTCTGTTATGCCTCGTGATTGTCGCATTTGTACCACAGATAGAACACCAGCGATGAGCGTGAAAATACCTCCGACGACACAGAGAACAAATGACCAGGAAACATTGGTCGCTTTAGCCCCGTAGACGATGAATCCAACCAACATGAATAAAACTAAAACAGAACAGAAATATAATGTTTACGTGAAACCAATTTCAAAAATTCTAAATGGCCCACGCTAGGTTTTCGGTTGACGTCTCATATTATAACTCACCAGTGACAAAGCAGATTATTGTTAAGGCCAGAATAGTGTTGGTTTTATTGACAGCGTGGACACACATATAAATGAAGACGCAAATCATACACGCTACAAGACCTACATGTCCAATTATAATCATAGCCTGCACTGCACGAAACCAATCTAAAATAAAAAATACCAGTTCAATTTTAATTTGAAATATATTATTTCTGTGTATAATTCTGTGTACATTTAGGATCTAGGATTTCCGTCCCCAGAACTGTTAGGATGCGATTCTGTACTCTGTGTCTTGTTTTTAATCCTTTGATTTTAGCAGACTAAACACAAAATGACGTCACATTTATTTTCACCATGCATTACTAACTATTATTTTATTTTACATTTTATTTAATTAATGTTTCTTTTAGTATCACTTTTCATTTTAGTGATTAAATCATTAAAACATATAGAAAACAGGTCCAAAATGACCAGTTGACTAAGGTCCGAGATGACTGGGGTCCAAGTTGACTAGCGTCAAAGTTGACGAGAGGCCATTTTGTTTAATTGTACTTACCTGCTACAACGTATGATTTACCACAGATGCATGACTCCCAAAGACCTGTATGTGTGTCCAGTACGACCGTCCAACCGATAGACGCAAACCCGACAACATATAACACCAAAGCGACGGCTAGGCAGAGAAAGATTCCCCCGGAAATGCCCTTAAAACTGATGTCTGGCATCTTGTTACTTGTATAATTCGGTCTTACATCATTTGTAGCACATAAAATAATTAAAGATATATCTGTATATTTATATGTACGCGAGTTAATTAATTAATCCAACTGAAAAATTAGTCCAACATCATCACAAAATCTCACAAATTATTCAATATTCCTGGAAGTCATTAGAATATCTAATCCAATCCGTAATGTACTTGTAACAGTGTAAATTCCAACACCCATGTAGTTCGAATATTAATAATTGACAGTATCTATTTTGTTCACCAAATTAGTAAACACTCGCGGAGAGTACCTTTATCGCCCTTTAAATAAAATCCACACCTAAAAGTTATTTAAAATCAAAAATTTCCTAAAAGCAGGATTCTTTATATTAGGTCAAATTGGTAGAATTAACATCCTGTAACATGTTTCGGAGCCTGACAAAATGGCGCCATTTATTCATTATTGGAGATTTCAACAAGGGTCCATTTTATCGGAATTTTTACTCAAAAACGGATTGATATATATTTCATAAATATTTTATGGATTTGTGAAAGAAAAACAGTTCAAGTGTGACTAAATGAAAAATTTAAATTGAACCAGAGTCATACTGGATGGTATTTCATACTAAAAAACTCTTTTTAGTAAATAAGATCATCCTGCTGTAGTATCACTCTTTTAATAAGTTCATATCGGTGGAATCAAAATCCCTTAACATGTTTCTGGTTGCTGTGCAACACAAAATGACAAATTAGGGCAATGGTTCAATTATTGAAGATTTCAAGAGGTCCATTGCACAATTTTGAATTAGCTTTTTGCGAACAAATATGTTATAAATCTATTAGAAGAGGATAAAATGGATTAATGTATTATATAAATATTTTGTGAGTCTGTAAAAATGAACTGTGAAATTGATCAATGGTCCGTTTTACATTTTTTTCTATTTCTTACACTGAAACTCAAAACGTATAAACATACATATTATGATATACAATATATTACTTGAGTCTGTAGAATACAATCTACCCTCCAACCTTCCAATTAAAAAAAAGAATTATTTTGTTTAAATATGAATAATAAAAAACAGCCGCTCTCTAGATACACTATATATTCCTGAACTTTATGTACCTTGGACTTCAGTATATAGTAGGCATGGAATACTGAATTTAATTTGACACGAGTTTCCCGACATTGGATTTGTACGTATATCTACAGTAGGTAGGTCGGGTTAAACTTAAATACATTTATAGGAATTAACGAGAGTTTATTTACTTTTTCCTTGATCAATATGACAAGTACATTATGACCATAAAGTCTGGCCATAATTAATTGACGTTTGGGTTACTTTTGAAGTTGGAAGGCTAGATAGTGTAATTCTGGAATTAACAAACCTTCCTAGAGGAAGGAACCAATGGCTGTTAGTAGGTGATCTTTCACGATGGAATAGTACAATCTCAAACATTCGTGCCTCCCCAGTCAATAATCGTGAGGAATTGATTACCAAGGTATGTGAATCGAAGAAGACAGTAGTCACATCCACTCTGCGATAAAAATGAAAATGTTACTAGATGGAGATGGCTGGCAAGGAATATAGCATGTCACGTAACACTCAAGTAAATGACATTCTTCAACTGTTTATGAAAGCTTAGAAAGCTCAAAACAGCAGAAATTGCTTAATATGGAATAGGCCTTCGGATCTAGTGATGAATTTATGTGGTACAAATGCTTATAAGATACATGAGAGATGTCTTCAACAGGAAGAATGAACAGTTACTAAACATTTTATTGATATAAAACACTTTATTTACAGGAATGGTTATTGGACAGAATATCGTGCATATAATATAACTTTTTTTGATGAGTGGATTAATTCTATTACATCAGTTTTAGTTTGTTCATCTCATTTAGCTTACATGTGTCCTTCCTTGACGTGTGGTGGTTTTGCATCTTTATGCACCCCTATGTATAGCATGTACTCTAGGACGATTCTTTACTTTATCCCTGCCTATTCATATAACCCCCTTGCATGTGGGTGTGGTGTGTAGATTGGAGAAGAAGGGATAGAGCAGGGGAGGGGGATAGGACGTGGTCACAATGGCTTGAGGTGGTTGATGCAAAACTTGCCATTACACATCGCACGAAACTGGGCGGGGACAATTAGCGTAACATTATGGCGTCAAAAAACCAAGACAAAACAATGAGCAGCATAGGGCGCAAACAGCCTTACAATGTCAAAAACGACAAGCGTCACATTTTTGTCAAGTTTAGTCAACCTAAAAATAAAATACTTTATCCTTATCTAATCATGACAAAATTCACAGGGTAGCAAGATCTCGAGGACAATATTTCTAAAATGTTTTTGAATTTTGGAAAACGGTCAAAAAATCCACTTGGGGCGTTGGTAAAAATTGATATGTATGGAATTTGTGGTAGAAAATCGATGCGTCACATTTTTTCAAGTCTCGAAAACCAGCTCTTATTTTAATATTATTTGCAAAATAAACAAACTGGTTATTGTTTTGTAAATTTCGCCATGACAATATTGTGCAGTTAATTTTTCTTTCAAATCAGACTTGAATTAGAAGGTTAAATGAAGGTAAACTTATTGCTCGTCCATTCGCCTTCAAAACCTTACACAATTTTGAAAATTTTAAAAGCGTTCATATATGATAATTTGAACTGAACGTTAAGCAATTGTGACGTCATAAATGAACATGTTCCATTGAATAAATTGTGAAATTTTAGTGGGATTTTGATCATTATTTCAAAAGTTATCCCAATTTCAACGAGCCCTGTAAGTGTAAAGTGTTACGTCTTACAGCGTATTTGACGATTTTGGGATATGTTTAACTTTAAAAATATGTTGGATCCCATCAAAATTTTGAAGAAAAAATAATTCCACTGAAATGCGAATAAAAAATACTTCAAAATGATATATAAAACACATAGCTAGCTTTTTAAATAAGGCAGAGATTAACGTTCAAAGCTGAAATCAGCCCGTATTTCCCGAATTGTCCCCAGGTCCGTGCACGTCATACATGCGTATTGCATATGTTCCAAAGTCACCCCACTACATCCAGTATAGCAATCGGCAAATTTCATGATGCATGTACATGTACATTTATATCGTATTTTTGCGGGATATATAAACTATATCCATTGGCTGGGTAATATATACATCAGTGTGTGTTATGATCACTAGCTCATCTGTCTGTTATGCTCTTGATTGCTGCATTTGTACTGCTGAGAGAACACCAGCGATGAGCGTGAAAATGCCTCCGATGACACAGAGAACGAATGACCAGGAAACGTTGAACGATTTCACTCCATAGATAATGAATCCAATTAACATGAAGACCACTGAAACAGAACAGAAATATAAATAAATGGTACATTTCCGTCGAGACAATGGAAACGTTACGTCATTCACTCACTTGTTTCGAAAATACATCATCCAGTAAAACATAATACTTAAAATACAATACAACACACGAACACAATACAATACACAATAAAGTACAATACTTTTTGACGCTTTACCTCATCGCGTGTACAGTATACAAATATGTTACGTAAACAAAAAACGTATTACAAAAACTATAACTTATTGATATGCTTGACTTATCCATTTTGAAACTTACTTGCAACGTTTCGATAGGTTGCGTCTATCATCGAAACGTTGCAAGTAAGTTTCAAAATGGATAAGTCAAGCATATCAATAAGTTATAATACTAAATACTATCCAGGGGGTCATTAACAGAACTTTCGTAAAGTTACGAATTCGCAAATCAATTGTTAATTTTACGAATTTGGAAAATGTGCATTAACAGAACTTTCGTAAAGTTACGAACGATTCGCAAAGTTACGAAAAAATGACGTCACGTATGCTTTCATTCGTAACTTTAATAGCACCTCAGACCCTTTCATAACTTTGCGAATGGCACATTTCTCATCCAATTCTTATGTAAGGTATACAGGTTGGCAAAAAGAAATTGTTCTCTATATACATGCTGAGTTTCAAGCTAAAATATCTACCTATTCTTACATGATAAGCAAATATGTTCCTGAGCTGGGAATCTTTGAAATCGCGGAGACAGGTTTGATCACAGCGCGCAATGATATCAAATGACATCATATTTTTATTTGTGCTAAATAATGATATAAGATGACGTCACAATTTGAAATTCGTTTACGAACGATAAAACTTATGAATGACTTACGAAAGTGTTCCGAATTCGTAACTTTGCGAAAGTTCTGTTAATGACCCCCAGATGAATATATTCAATAGTATTACAAAAACGCTGTAGTTAACGCTATGTTCACGTTTAACTCGGTTGGTGAGCTATTTCCCGTCTCATTGTTGAACTCACCGGTGACAAAGCAGATAATTGTTAAGGCCAGAATAGTGTTGCTTTTGTTGACAGCGTGGACACACATGTAAATGAAGACGCAAACCATACACGCTACGAGACCTATCAGTCCAATTATAATCATAGCCTGCACTGCTCTAAACCAATCTAAAATCAAAAGAAGAAACAACAATTTAGTATTATCTATCATATCATGCGTGTCACTGGTATTATATTATTATGATAGTACATAAAATAATGATAAACAATGACCCTAATTAATCTTTCATTTATAATTTATTAATTTTTTTGTATTCCTTTTCATTTTAACAAAGTATAAAAATAAATAAAATGTACATGTAGGTCCAAGTTGACTAGGGTCCATGTTGACCATGGTCCGAGTCGACTAGAGGCTATTTCTGCTTATTTGTACTAACCTGCTCCAGATGGTGCTCTACCACAGACGCATGACTCCCACAAGCCAAAATGTGAGTTCAATACGATCGTCCAACCGGTAGTCGCAAACCCGACAACATATAGCACCAAGGCTAGAGCCAGACAGAAGAATATCCCCCCGGAAATTCCCTTAAAACTGATGGTGTGGACTGATGCAGAGTTGCCTGATGAACTCACAGTTGTTGTCTTGATCACAGGCATCTTGTCACTTGGTCTACTTATATATAGTTTGCCTTTAAATCCGTCGAGAATTAGAAGTCACTTATTTGTACTGGCCGTCTCAAATGCGCTCTAAATTACATTATTTGCATCACTCATCAGAATGATAATAGCTACGTGTCCGTGAGTTAATTAATCCAGCTGCATTAGTCCAAAACATCAAGAAATCTCAAACTTTAAATTCCTGGATTCTCATTCGAATTTCAAATCACATCCGTAATTTACTTGTAACAGTGTAAATTCCAACGACCATGTACTACGAATATTAATAATTGACAGTATCTATTCTTTTCACCAATCTGGTAAATACTCGTGAAGTGCATATTACGTTTATCTCCCCATAAATGTGATCCACACCTTACCTTATGAATTCCATAGTGAATCATTTACACGTGTCCCTTCGTTACCTTTGAATACGCGTCATCAATGGGACATTCCACATTTTCTTTATTTTGTTTTTATTTTAAGATGCCTTTGAAAAATTGAAAATATATGATGACATTTCATGATCACTTCGCGCTTTTTATTGTTTTTACTGAGTTTTATTTTATTTCGTTAAAAAACGATGAATCCAGATTCTATTCCACAACTTGACAAGAGTCTCATTAATTTTGCACTTTTATCTTGGTAGTCCAGAGCATACTTTACAGTTAAAGCATGAAATATGATAGTTCTATTTACTTTTCACTTGATCAATATTACAATTAAGATAAGCTAATACAGTCCGATACGCGAACCCAAGAAATGTGCCCATACTTGATTGACGTGTGAGGCGTAATGCAAAAGGCCAGTTGGTGTACTTTTGGAATTCGTCACACCTTCCTTCCAGGGAAGGAAATAATGGCTGTCGGTGATCTCTCACGATGGGATGGTGCAGTTTGCCCAAATCTCAAGTTGCACAATTCCACTTAACAACTGTCATAGCGATGGCCTAATCCTGAATTCTTTCAACGTTTGAATTGAGTCATCGCACTCTGTAATTCAAACCATACTCATATTTGTTAGTATCTTACTTTTATAATGTCATCAGAAGCTTCCAACAAGAGCCCACAGCCCCAAAAAGATGTGTACTATCATCATTGATTGGGTAGAACCAAAGGTAGCACTTTGCAAAATCTTCGGAATACTAATAATTATTCGATGAAATAAGCTGTATGGCCAATATTAGAGGGATTTTGCAAATCACTTATAGCTTCTTATTATTCCCGTATAACTTATGAAGCGTTTGATTTCGTTATCATTTATTGCCCAGCTGTATACGTCAATATAAGATTCTTATAAATCTTCGTCTATACGAAAAACGGCTTAGTATCAGAAATATCCCAAATTTAAATAAAAAATGACCTTTGCCTCCGCACCAAATGTTAATTTCTACCTCACCAAATATTTCCCACAGGCTCCGTCTGTATAGGGTGGTATTCAAACGCTTCATAAGGTATACGTTAAACGGGAATAATAAATATTCTATAAGTGAGTTGCGGAATCTCTCTATTATTACATGTACACCGAACTATGTTGAAGTAGACAAAACATATAGATGGTGTTGTGGCATTTTGTAGTTTCAATATTACCACGCAAACTTTCATCAGTTTCATGGCTAGTTTTTGTATGAAATTAATTAGTTTTTGTTGTTGGTAAACCTTGGACACTAGCAGATTCACAGTTTGGTGTCCGTTGGTCTGGGACGAAATATAATATTTAAGATGGGGTTTCGGAGCCTGCATCCTCTGTTGTGACGTTGGCTTTATTTCTATCAGTGCTTCTAACATACTTTTTGTCCAAAAATGTTTTTTGACATAATCTATATTGACTTTTATTTAATTTATTGAAATGTATTCGGCCAAAGCAGAGGCCATTTCTTTAATCTTGAGATCCGTTCATCTGCAAAGTTTTGATTATTTCAAAATTTTATATAATAGATGTCACATGTATATGTTTTATGCCTTAACCAAGGTCATGAATAAATGTAGGAAGATCTATAAGTCTTTAGAACAACATTTAAATAATTGCAACACACATTGATTTCATTTATAGATTTCAAACTTCAAAAATATGCATTTGAAAATGTGATTATTAGATATTTGCGCGGGCATCACTAAACTCTATATGGTCCAAGCTCTCTACGATTTTTTTAAAACGATTAAAAACATTGTACGCCAGATGCAGGCAATATTGGATAATTCATTACTGCTAGAAAAGAAGAATGGGCCCGAAAATTCATATTCATATGTTTTTATAAAATGAATAAACCACCCCATGCAGATAGATCGCCTTAAATTATATTCGTATGATACTAGACTCGACATTCACCAGGAAAGTAGAAACATTTTGTCACCCATGAAGCAAATGAATTTTTTACTGCTTTAATAAATGGTCAAGGACTTGATAAATGGAAAAAGGAATTAAGCAGTAAAAATAATCATGGGTGACATGGGTGACCGAATTTGTTACATCATGGGTGACAAAACAAATTTTGTTTTTTTAACAAAGACTATGATTATTTATTATCGATGATTTGATTTATATTACATAGCAATGCTGTATGATGAATATGCATCGTGCTGCCCTCTATACAGAAGTGATTTCATTTTTGTGATGAATTTCGAATTATTCTAACAAATGTTTTGTCTTGCATCAAGCTCTCGTGTTACACTTCTTTTCCATACAGAGAAATAATGCAAGTTATGTTCAACACGGTTCAACACGGAAAGTATTCTTGGTCCACCATCCTTTGAAATAAGAATAATACAAGTAGATGTGTGTAACGCTATATGGAAGACATCCGATTGACGTGGATGCTATAATATCCTTCAGGTAATATCCTCTCATACTATCAAATATGCGAGTGTTTATGGTATTATATGGTTGTCATGATTCTGTTTTGGGGAATATCGTTGCCAAGGAAACAATTATGGCCAGAAGATACATAAAAAAGAACACTCTGTCTAACACTAACGCTACTACCCGCCATTCAATTGTGATTTTCCCCACTGATTCCTTCTCCATCATTTTCATTGCTACATGTCTTAGATATTTTCGTATTTCTCGAATGTCATTCTCCATTGACTGGTGCATTAGTATTGGAGATTTATCTGGTGACGTATTTTCAGTTTTGTGGTTTGAAAATGTTGACGTTTCGTGCATCTGAAACTTGTTGTATTTCATATCGTTGTTACAATTGTTTTCTTTTGCCGCTTTCTTTCGTTTTCGCTTTATTTCCTTCTGTTCATTAACAATCACTTTGTCAAGTTTGTGTTCTTTTGGACCGGGTGGTGGAAGATTTAGTTCACCGCGCATACACAAAATCCGGGCCACCCAATCTATCATAAGCTGAAATTTATAAGAGATGTGAACAAAAAGATGCTTCTAGATAATCATACCTGAACTATATAATTAATCTTAATAAAATGATGTTTCTTCATAATTATACCTTAGAAGCGTTTGTAAACGTTCGGTCGCACTGATGAAGATTTATTACCAAAACTATGATTTTCTCTGTGATACTATTTTCCAATAAGTGACAATGTGTTTTAGTTTGCTGTGTTTCTAATTAAGATTTACGGAACACGCAGAATAAGAACTATGTCTGGTGTTGGCACTGTTTTGCTTTGGAAAGCATGATATATTTCTGTTAAATGTGTACTGATTATTGATGTGTTTATTAGTTGGTTTGGAGTTCGTGTTCTGTTGCAGTTAAGATAAAGAAAAACATTTGTCACTTGTACTGTTGTGTATCGATTGCAACATCCCAACAATTCTTACAAAGTTTATTTTTCGAAAACAATGACTGAAATACTCTATCTGTGGAAGTATACATCATTAGCATGTATGCAAGTGAGTTGCGATAATGTTAAGATGATCTGACATTTTTTCATCTTTTCTGACCTACCGTTTTGACAAATTTTGGTACCCTATTTCTCCTATCCCCTCGGAAGTACAGGTTGATGACGATGACGGACAGAAACGTTGAAAGCGTTATCATTATCATATTCAGACAATAATATGCACCTAAAATATATGACAAGAACAATATATATGTTGAGCACCTTGATATACCTTCTCGTGGGATGGCAACGTGTATTCTGTTAAGGTAGATGATCAAAGACTATTTTGATTGTGTTGTGGACCTACAGTGTATATTTTGGTTTGGATTTAAAGGTGAACTTACCAATGAGCGGTATACTCGAGGCAGCAGGGGGAGTAGACTCAGCCAGAAGAAGCAACAATACAAAGAAGGCCACAAATATATTCATTCCTGAAATAATACATTGCATACATATATCTATTGCACAGTATTGTCTAGCAAGGGATGGATGGATTTCTCTTGCATATTACAGAATTTGAGGACTTTATTTTATCTTGCCTCAAATCTTTGTCGACTTTAGCCCCCAAACCTTCTCTGACCATGAGTATTGTCAAGAACATCTCTTGATGATATGAAATATTGAATTATCCATCAAGCGTAAGCATCATATCACCACTACGGAGAGAGAAAATGAACGGGGGGGGGGAGGGGGCTTCGGAGGGTCGAGGCAAAAAGGGGTCAATTAGCATACCTAGTCATTGTTTATATCATTCGGCAGTTTGAGAGAAAATGAACGAGGGGGGTGGCTTCAGAGGGTCGAGGCAAAATGGAGTCAATTAACATACCTAACACCATTTTTGCAGGGCTCTCTGGTGGAAGCCAAAACAACACGAGTGTAAGTGAAGACAGCAGGACACACGGCAGTATCAAAATGTAGTTATAAAATGCTACTTTTCTTCTAATAATCAGAGTAAATGTCAGATCTGGATACGGTTCAACACAGCACGGATATTTCTTGACATTCCTCCTCGCTGGACTCTGAACCACATCCCATTCATTACTGGGTATATAGTCGTTCAGATCAACTTTTTCATCATTGTTGAAGAAAATAATGTCAAGTTTAAATCCATCATATGTCCATGATCCGAATTTCATGGTACAGTTTTGAACATCGAATGGAAAGTGTGTGATGTCTATAGAGCATGTGCTCTTGTATATAGCTTGAGGAATCCATATTATCTCCCCCTTGTAAGACACTACCGCAAGGGCCTTGCGTTTCTCTTCCAATCTGTCGTCTGCACTGTAAAATAAAATATAACATTGTGTGCATAATATTTCCTATAATTCATTTGATAAGATAATAATTACAATTACTGTAAGTCACTATAAGAAAGATGTCAAACAGGACAAATATAAAAAATCAAATCAAATTGACAGTATGACCTAGTCTTTCTTAACCAGATTCGTTGACAGGACCAACCAAAACAATGCTTAAAACAATATTTCAACTTATGTTTTTATGTTAAATGTAATGCATAATTATACTCTAATAAATTGTGGCTATAATCCAAGACAATATTAACACAAAATCTATTCAAGAATGAACGTAATTGAACACAGCAATCATGTAAACTTACTAACTCTACATTACAACATTTCACTGATTTGTAAGGAATAGAATCGTAAAAACGTTTCTTTGAACATTATTCTGGGGCCACCGTTACATACTCACTAGTTATAAAGTACAATATCAGGTGTCCAGATATACTCTGTAGGTATTCTAACATGTTCAACACCTCCATAGTCTTTAGGGTCCCACACTAAAAGGATGTCGTGCCAGTTCTATAAAACGAGTTTTTAGAAAAATGTAATTAAAATGTATTTAACGATGAGACATTTAATGAAAATGCATTTTCGTGATGTTGCATTGTATTGAGATTCAAGAAACTGAAAAATGACACCCATGTGAAAATAGTTTATAGTTTGACACACTTGCATGATAATGATATGTATGATACTATTCAATTTCCACTGGTATATACAAATATGGTGATACTATAAGCGTCTAGGGATCAGTTCACAGGGGACATTTGATTACATTCTTTCTGAGGAAGTTTTTACTTGTATATAGACACTGTATATATTTCAATCTCAAATGTTGATTTAGTACATTCATAGCTTTTTAAAAGTATATTGGCGCTTATTAGATAACTAAATAGCAATTCATACGTACGTATCTTCCCCAAACATTTGTTGTTAGAACTTGATTCTTTTCGTCCAGGTCCAGTATTTGAACGAGAGCGATGCCGAACTGAACCTGTATCACGGAGGTTTGATTATGGACGGGCCGTCCCACCTTGCCGATATCTTCATACTTCTCGAGAAGATCTTTTATCAGCTTTTTTTCGTCAGACACTGCGATTCCCCCTGAAACAATACAAATAGGAATTTATAGAAATGTTGATTCAAGACTTGATCCTGTAAGTAACATTGAAAACCTCATTATCAGGGATCAAATAGGCACAGAAAATGTTTTCTCATCTGTTCATGGCACATAACATTTCTTCAAAATTGAATATTTCCAATTCCAAGAGATACCACTCAAAACAATCCGTCAAGGAAATTGAAAGAATCTAAATAATCTACTGTCAAATAAATTCAGAAGGATTCTAGTTTAATGAATAGACAATACAGAGGTGCATGTTAATAAATAACTAATATGCATGACTCCAATTACTCAGATACGAGTAGGTAGTTACCAGTTTCGCCACCAGGTGGCCGATTCGGGGGAAATAACATGGCAGGATACTACAAAATCCCCTTAAACTTGAATATGCATCAGTTTTAGTGGTTCACTTTTCAAATTACTCCTATGTATGTGATAGTTATATAAATTCAAATATGTCCAGTAAAAGAAAATATTATCTGCCCAACACAAGAACAGATATTTCACTTCGTTTTTTAGTTTTACAACATGGGGTCTATGGGGAATCTCCCCGACCTAGAAGTCACATTTTCAAAGAAAATTAAATTTTCAAAGTTGATAAACTCTTTTCAAAACCACATTTTTAGATGTAATTTTATACGTAGATTCCAAATATGACACCAGTTTGACTGAATTGTGAATTTTTAATGACGTAAATCAAGATTATTTCTACTCGCATCTAGTATATTACAATGAGAATTCCTTATATGGTATGCACATCAAGCTACGAGTCGACCACAATAACAATAAGAACTCCTTATATGGGATACACATCACGCTACAAGTTGACCGCAAAGATAATCATAACTCCTTCTATGGTATACATATCAAATTGCCTGCTGACACTGATAACAATGAGAACTCCTTATATGGTCTACATATCAATCTACAATCAAGTCGAGCACACACAATAACAATTAGAACTCCTTCTATGGTATACAAATCAAGTAACCGGCTGACCACGATAACAATAAGAACTCCTTATATGCATTGTGGGATCCACAGCCTTTACTATCCTTTTGGAATAGTTCAGAATAGTTCTCTCAAAAACGTTAGGTAAAGAGGGACTCTGATAAATCAGAATGCCTTATATGGTGTGTACAGGAAGCTACAAGTTAACCACAATAGTAATCAGAACTCCGTATGATATACAAATCAAACTACCAGTTGACCCGGAAAACAAATAGGATTCCTAACACAAACTAAATGCACTTTGAAAGTTAATTCATATAGAAAATCAACTGAGTTTACGTCAAGAAGTGTGACATCATGAGGTGTTCCTGTCCCTAAACATGGTTATGTTGTCATCAAGTGATGGGCCACTCACGTGTACATGACCTGTAGTAATTTAAACCTGTTCCATATTACAAATCAATATATTTTTGTATATCAATTGACTTTTGCAAACATTTGCTTGTGCCGTAATACATGTTGGCATAAACAAGAATCGATTCCTTATAAACAAGTTCCTTTTGCCATCTGCCTGGTGAATAGAAAAATCAGAAATACAAATTAGCCTAAAAGATTCCACCGGGAATCGATGATGGGAAAATGAACTTGTTTTTGTATAACTTACTCTACATACTATGCTACTAATTGTAATACCATAGCATATAGATTAGTTATAATATGAACAATTGTTACCTGCGTCGTTGATATTTAGATGATATTTGGACTTTATCATATTTTGTTATATCTGCTTTATGGCTCGATGTTACATATGGTATTAACATGGTTATGATGTCATCAAGTGCTGACGTATCGTTTTGTAATCTTTGTTTTATAGCTCGATGTTACATATGGTATTAACATGGTTATGATGTCATTCTAATTTTTGTTTTTATAGCTCGATATTACATATGGTATTAACATGGTTATGATGTTATCAAGTGACGACGGCAATACACAACTAGAGATTCATACCACGTGAGGCTCAAACGTAGAAAAGCTCAGTTCATGAAAATAAACGCTAAAACACTGTTTGAAATATGCTATATTTGTGTTATGATAACATCTTCATTCCCACACTTTGCTTACTCAATCATGATGCTTTTACATGATCCCAAACAGAGAAATATTCAGGCATCATGTTCATATACTCTCCCCTCCAAATCTTTGGCAACAGCAGCTCTCATATTCGAAAACGAGTTAAGGGCCATTCATGTCTGAATAAGTGACATAGATAATACAACGTGACCATGGACATGTATGACTTGCATCAAAAACTACCAGCAGTTTCACGAACCAACAAACACGAATTGCTTCAGATAAACAAACAGTTCTGTTTATGCCGAGATTTGTGACAGATCATAAAGAAAATACATTGATTAAAGTTGTATATTTATCATTGTTTTACTTGAAGAATTGAACGAAAAGCTTTGAGTTCATTGAATCCTTTAGCAGTTTCATTGAGTACGTCTTACACTGCAACATGCAGAGTAATTAATTCACCAGATAAGCCAAGATAAAATCTGAACGGTTGCACAGCTTCATCACGATAAGTGTCAATGGGAAGTACACCTGCATATGTGGTCTACTATGTTATTTCTATGTTATACAGGCACCGTTCTAATCAAATATTTATTACTGAAACTTGAGAGGTGGATTGATCTCAGGGGTTTTAGCATTGATGAGGACCAAGTGATATATCACATCAACTCAAAGAATATCGGTATTTCGATTCAATTAATCGTGGAGAATGATGTTTAAACTAGTTAAACAATGTTAAAAGTGCCCCATGAGCCATTCGGATCAGAAGTCATCTCAGATCTTTTAACTGTTTAATCTCGGAAACATTGTACCTGGAGCACATCAATCTTTATCATTGTAAATTGGTTAAAATGATCTTATGTTGAGAAAAGAATACTAGAATAGAAAAAGCTGTGGATCGCATCGACAATACCCAGTACTAGTAGTGTTAATTACCAGGACAGTGTGATCTTCCTGGAGTTGACCAAATATACGACAAATGTCAAACTGAAAATGCCAAATGAGAAATTATTCCCTAATGCCTTGGTCACATTTGCTTCGATTTTTACTAAATCGCCCGGCCGATTGAGCATTTTGTTCAAAATTGAATACAATATTGAGCAAAACACATTGGAGCAAATGTGACCCAGGCATAAGTTAGCAATATATTTTTGAACTATTATAAATAATTTATTTTCTCGATGTTATCCATAGTGCGCTCTCATTTAATATGTACGTATTGCCAGTTCCAATTGAGATCAAACAAGCTGACAGATGCAAGACGTCTGGATTTGTACATAATAGTCGAGATATTGACTGACTGGCTTTTCAATTTGGTGCAATATGACAAATCACGCATCAAAGTATTTCCTATATGTACAATTCTATTTTGAGAATAAATAATTCATATATGCCCATTAAAAGTAGCTATAGCAGTAAAAACATCCATAAGAATAATTTCAAAGTAATAACGTTATATGACGTGCACGGACCTGGGGACAATTCGGGAAATACGGGGTAATCTCAGCTTTAAGCGTTAATATCTGCCTTATTTAAAAAGCTAACTATGTGCATTATATATCATTTTGAAGTATTTTTTATTCGCATTTCACTGAAATTATTTTTCAATAGAAAGTGTGATAGGATCTACCATAATTTTGAAGTTAAATGTACTCCGACATCGTCAAATACGCTGTAAGACGTAACATTTCACGCTTGCACGGTTCGTTGAAATCGGGATAACTTTTGTAATACTGATCAGAATTTTACTAAAATTTCACATTTTATTCATTGAAACATGTGCTTTTATGACGTCACAATTGCCTAGCGGCTACAGTTCAAATCGTCTTATATGAACGCTTTTAAGATTTTCAAAATTGTGTAAGGTTTTGAAGGCGAAGGAGACTAGCAATAAGTTTACCTTTATTTAACCTTCTAATTTAGGTCTGATTTCAAAAAAAATTTAACTGCACAATATTGTCATGGCGAAATTTACAAAACAATAACCGATTTCTTTATTTTTCAAATAATAAGAGAATAAGAGTTGCTTTTAGAGACTTGAAAAAATGTAACGCATCGATTATTTACCACAAATCCCATACACATCAATTTTTACTAACGCCCCGAGTGGACTTCCTGACCGTTTTTCAAAAATCAAAAACATTTTAGAAATATTGTCCTCGAGATCTTGTTACTCTGTTAATTTTACCAGGATTGAATAAGAATAAAGCATCTTATTTTTATGTTGACTAAACTTGACAAAATGTAACGCTTGTCGTTTTTGACGTTATAATGCTGATTGCGCCCTATACTGCCCATTGTATTGTTTTGGTATTTTGACGCCATAATGTTACTCTAATTGTCCCCAGTTTCGTGCGACGTGTATTAGCCTTTATCACCTACATATATTTTGATTTAGTTAAGGATTTAAGCCCTAGACTCAGTACAATGTGAAATGACCATTCCTTGAAGGTGTTGCTTTGCAAATTTTGCACGAGAAGCGCAGCATCGACTGTTAATGTTAAGAAACAACGTTGTGGAATGGTCATTTCACAAGAGTCTTGGGTTTGAATTCTTTTCACCCATTGCAATATATTTTCTACCATGTCACTTAAACGTTACAAAATCAATAAAAGAACAGAATTTCAATGTAACTTTTTGTTTTACAATGGTCAATGTGGCAAAGTTTCTGTAAAGTTGTTACCTTGGCAACCTATGACCTTGGTTGCGGTGGTTATTCACCTAGCTATGTGAATATATATTTACGAGTCAGGGTCTTATCCGTCTTGTCACAAATGACACTCGTTCTTTTAAAAAAAGGAAAGTATATTTTACGTCATGGATGACACGTGACAGGAATAATCAGATAATACATTTGTAAATTGAAATTGGTCAAAATGACATTGTTCATGTTTTGGTTATTTTCTCAATTGCAAACCAATATATGCAACAAATGTGTAAAAGCATAACCTAC